GGCCTGGCCTTTTATGCCTCTCTGTTCTGATTGCCCGCAAAATCGCATGGAGCCAAACTGCTCCTGCAGCCGCAGCAGCTGTGACCGACAAACTAACCGAAATTATGTTAGCCAAATTTTGGTCATTTTTCACATTCGCCTGCCTGGCCAAACTCTCTAGTCATTTGCCCGCTCGAGCCCGTTGCGCACTCGGCTGTCAAAAGTGCCGCTCAACAGTTTGTCAAGTAAACAAACACAAACCCAAACACAAACACTACAACAAACTCAACACATCTTGCAGCTCGCTCACACGCACAGCTAATGTGTGCTGCTGGGTAGCGCTTTATTAATTTCAATTTGTGTCAACATCAATGCCAAATATGCGCAGCCAGTGAGCCAAGCGAAATGATTTAAGCCAGCTGATGACAAAATGTGTGCCATTAGCCGAATTAAAGCGCACTTTTTCGGGTGCTGTGGCTCACATCAGTCACAGGGCCAGTCCCCCAAGCACTGCTCCCCTAGCTCAGTTCTGGGGGCTTGCTTGTGTGGCTTTGGTTCGAGCATAGTTCATAAAACTCAACGACTGGCCATTGTTGTCCGTATAACAACCATTAAAATCATGATTGATGCGCACGGCTTGACCCAAATGCATGTTTTTATGCCTACTTAACAGATACGCTTACATTGCAGAGTCATCCCGTATTTGGCTGTGTGAATGTGTGTAAGTTTGCGGACAATATGCGGCTGCTTAAATATTAAACAGCATTCAACACCAAGCACGCGTTGGGTTCATTGAACTCTGCTGTAAGCCAAGAAGCCGGCACATTGCTCGCTTCCATGGGAACGACATTATTTTGCTTATTATCTGACCATTCTAGCCAGCTCGGCACGCTGCGTATACGTAATATTCCATTTAATTTCACTTTATGCTACGCTATTTCGCACTCGAGCACAACGTAATCGGTATTAATGAAAAGTGCAATAAAAATAAACAGTGAAAACAGCCAGGCGAAAGTAAAGTAATGGAAATAACTTGAGAAACTTGAAGTAGATCCTCCTGCATAGATACCAATAAGGCAGTCGTTCTGCAGCAACACAAGTTCAAAACTTATTTATTTACTGGCAGTGCGAAATTGGTGAGCCGTTTAAGAATATTTTCTCGCTTTGAGCACTTTACTTTTTCGGATGGGAAACAAAATGCTTAATTTTATGCTATAGTAAACCAGAAAGTGAAAAACTTTATATATTACTTATTAAATATCATAAAATTGTTAATTTGTGAAATTTATATATCTTGGTACTGTGTAATATCAGTCCTACTAAGCCTTTTCTTCCATAGTTGTCCATCTTAAAACTTAAGCCTTTTCAATTGATTCCAAAACCTATATATGAAATTCAAGCAAGGGCAGAGAGAGAGAGAGAATGAAAGGACTTCACAAAAATGATGCAACTCCTTTAGTCCAAATATGCTTTTCAATTTATTAATTTTCTAAGAAAATTCTCTTGCTATTGACTTTCAGCTTATCATTGTTATGCATACTATAAATACAAGTTTAATTAAAGTAAATTCTTTCTTTTCAGCAAGCAAGCATATAAATCTTTTATGCAATGTGTTTTGTTATATTTAATGAATTACATAACATTTTCAAAATCGTTAAGACATAACTAAGAGCACAGCGAAATCAAAGGCAAGCAGAACTTAAGATTCAGCTCAAGTTACAATTTTTCGGGTGAACATGTGTAAGCTTTAGCTTGTATGTCGTTCGTAGAAGTCGTGCAGTTGCCTTGGGGGTGTCATTTAGTCATTAAATATTGACAATTTTCTTCTATTTTCCATTTACCGAATTCTTAACATACCATGAAATCATACGCTTCGTCTCTGCTCCACTGCGACCTTCAATTAATGTGTAAACTGCTTTTAACAGCATTGAAATGTTAACAGCAATAAAGAATGAGTCCAGCTGGGCTACAGAGCTTGCCACATTTCTTCATAGCTAACTGCAAACATTTACCATTTTCATGCCATTTACAATCCTTGCGGACTTGTGGGCTACAGCTGCTGATTTATAATCGGAGCCACAGCAACTGCAACTGCAGCGGCAGTGGCAATGCCAATGGCAACGGCAACTGCAACCACAGCAGTTGGCAAAGCTTTTGCGTTTTATTGTTGCAATTGTATTGCAGTAGAATGAAATTAATTTGCCATTGGCTGTGTTCTGTGGCCAAGCATTTATCTAGCTGCTGCAGTTGGGCTGTCGCAGCTGCTAAAATTTGTCAAAGTAACTTAAAGCACGCTAAGCCGTCGCCGCCGCCACCGCCCAAAAGCCGCATAAAGCGCACTTAAAGTAATTCGCCAGCCAGCCAAAGGAGAGAGCAAAGCGCAATATGCCACAGCAGTAACAGCAGTAGCCGCGGGCTCAAGTGGCTGCCATTGTTATGGCTGGCACACTTAATAATCAGACATAATAGTTGGGGCGCCAGACAATGTTGCGCAACAGGTGGCAGGTGGCAGCTATTGTTGGCATTGCAGCTTGCAACTTGGCCAGTTGGCCCTTTTTGCGAAATTGGCCTTTAATAAAGACTTGTGGTAGTTGATTTGGCCTTATCGGCGGACTGCTAAGCCGCTTGCCTTTAGGCTGAACCCAAAACTCCTTTGGCTCTAAATTAAATTTCGCACTTTTATTGCTATTAACAAAAAAGCAATTTCCTTGAGGTGCAAAGCGAAATTGAAAAGGGCATAATGACTTGCTGTAAAAAAATAAAAAAATATAAAAAGGGCAACACACACACAGAAAAAAATATCTGGTCATTAAAAAAGGCTTACAACGTGCCATTTATTACATTTTTTATAGCGCTCGCAGCACGGCATAGAAAAAAAAGGAACTTGAGTAAAATATTACTAAAATACGAATTTACAAATGAGTTTCGGAAAACAATTTCCACACAAAATTCCAAAGGAAATCATATTTTAAAATATAATGAAAAGGTTTATTACCTCTGAGATTTTTATGAGTTTCCATTAAGCCAAATGAAATAAAAGTAAAAGAAAATTAGAAAACATTTGATCTGCGCCACAAATAAAAAGATTTAATATTTTATTAACCATATTTTATATCCAGAATTATTGATTCCTGTCTATTTTTTCTATTAAAGTTATCAATATAAATAATAAAAAAGTCAAAGCGAATCTCGCAGGAAACCAATTTCTGGAACACATGTATCTATTCACATTGCATTAATACATATATATATATATATATATATATATATATATATATATATATATATATCTATATATATATATATATATATATATATATATATATATATTTAAAAATATACAAGCTCGCCGCAAATAACCAGAATTCTTAACACAGCGCAAATATTTTGCCAACAGTTGCCGCCAGCACAAAATGTGCAAAAAATTCCTCAAAATATGGGCCATAATAAAAGAGCAGAAGAGCTGAACGAACGTTAAATGACGAAAGTTGAAATAACTTTTTTCCTGCTTTTTTCGTTGTATTTGATACTCTAGCTTATGTAAAAAATTGTCAAAGTCATGCAAGAGGGTTGAGGGGAAACGGCCCCAGCACATGAGCCCACAAAGTCAAAGGCTTTAATACAATGATCCAGTTATTGATGAACTTAACAGAAAACAAAAGGATACTCAAGTCTCCCTTAAGTGCACAAAAGCCCTAAAGTTTAACTTTAAGCTAATGTTTTTTGGCACATTTTTGAAAAATAAACACGCAACCGACAACTAATGAAAAACAAAGCAGACGGCAGGCAGTCAGAAGTCAGCAGACATCCATATACCTACCTCTCTATTAAATACAAAATGAGTAAAAATAGCCGAGCTGTCTGGCCGTGTCTGCTCATTTGTCGTTTTCGCTGATTTATTCGGCAATTTACGCAACATGATCAACTGCCAGCCAGGCAAAGGGCGACTCGGAAACTTAGTGTGCCAAGAATATATAAAAATATAAAAATATAAAAAAACACAAGCAAAATAAAGCTTTTGGGGCAAAAAGTTGTGGCATAAGCTCAGGCGCCTCTAGTCTGGTGGCAGTCAGCAAAAAGCAAACGTCAAGACTGTCATGTTTTTGCTGCAAGTTTGGTTCTTAGCGTTTTGGCTAGACCTCAATATAGTTAGGCGAGAACACAAAATACCAGGTAGTTGCGACCTTGATTAGAGGTGGTAGGAACAGTTGTAAACAGGATTACACGGTAGAGGCAAGCATGTTCATGGCTGTTGATTTACCACTCCAATCCGTTTTAATCCTCACATTAATTTATCTTAGGTTAGCATGTTTTGCCACATTTAAATAGATAACAAAGTGATTTACTGATATAGAATGTGGCTTCAGCAAAAGCCATTTTTTGCTGCGGCAGGCTAGACTTGCTTCATTTTGGGGAACTTGTGGCACTTGGCTTCGGCTTCAATTTCCTGTTAAAAGTATACAGCAAAAATCTAATTACCTCACCGAGCGCCGAGCACCGAGCACCGAGCACAATACCCAAGCAATTGAAAGCAACAAATGTTGTTGTTTACCTTCTATCATTACTAAGAGCAATGTGTGTTTTCCATCTGATGTTGTTGTTGTTGTTGTTGTTGACGTGTCTGGTTGGCTCCGAGAGTAAACTTCCGCTGGCACTTTCTGCCACTGAGGCGCAGACGCCTATATTGGCCTCGACTCGGCCCGACTTGCCACGCCTCAGTTAGAGTCTATCATTTTTATGGCTATTTAAAGAGCCATAAACAAAGCCTCGTGTGTGGTTTTATATGACTCTGTGTTTATATAGATATATTTCTATATAAACGTGAGTGTGTGTGTGTGTCTGCTGTTGTCTCTGAAATTGCCTTGATATTAAATTGAGTTTTATGCGTGATTTCCGCTCTTAACACTTTGTTGACAATGAATTTTATGGTCGGTTAGTAAACTGTTTTAAAAACATGGACATATTTACCTAACGCTTACGCTGTCACACTCTCACCCCCTCTTCCCCTATGCTAGACGGAACAATTTGCTGTACTCTGGATACTCTTTACCATTATTGTGCTTGGTAATTCGGCAGTTTTGTTCGTGATGTTCATCAACAAGAATCGCAAATCGCGCATGAACTACTTCATCAAGCAGCTGGCGCTGGCAGGTGAGTCCAGAGAGTGAGCGATTCTATATGCCACGGATCTGACTAATAAGATATCAATCTGTTATTATAGATCTGTGCGTTGGGCTGCTCAATGTGTTGACAGATATTATATGGCGCATCACAATCTCGTGGCGGGCCGGAAACATGGCCTGTAAGGTCATCCGCTTCTCGCAGGTGTGCGTCACATACTCCTCCACCTATGTGCTCGTGGCCATGAGCATTGACAGATACGATGCAATAACACATCCCATGAACTTCTCAAAGTCGTGTAAGTTCTCGCCCATAGAAACTTTTTTAATTGGAAAATCTTTTGGCACTTGGGCCTAACAAGAAAAATATGTGTATATGTGTGTGTGTTTGTGTAACCTTTCTTACAGGGAAACGCGCGCGTCACTTGGTAGCAGGGGCTTGGGTCCTCTCCGCCCTCTTTTCCCTACCCATACTGGTGCTTTATGAGGAGAAGCTGATACAGGGCCATCCGCAGTGTTGGATTGAGCTGGGCTCGCCAATGGCCTGGCAGATTTATATGTGTCTTGTCTCGGCCACACTGTTTGCGGTGCCCGCCTTGATAATATCCGCCTGCTATGCAATTATTGTGAAGACCATATGGGCCAAAGGCTCTATATTCGTGCCGACAGGTAGGTGGACTAATCCATGGCTGTTCTCTCTTGCTCATGTGTGGCTTTTGGCTAGAACGTGCAGGCTTCGGTGCAGCAGCAACACGACGCGCCAGCTCCCGAGGCATCATACCACGCGCCAAGGTCAAGACCGTGAAGATGACGCTGACGATTGTGTTCGTATTTATCATATGCTGGTCGCCATACATTATATTCGATCTTCTGCAAGTCTTTGGGCACATACCGCACTCGCAGACCAACATTGCCATAGCCACATTCATACAGAGCCTCGCACCACTCAATTCGGCAGCAAATCCACTTATTTACTGCCTGTTTTCCTCACAGGTATTTCGCACGCTCAGGTAAGTGCTTACATTGATTCCATTATTTTCCTCTAGTCACCACCCCCATCCACACCTTAGTCGCTTCCCGCCCTTCAAGTGGTTCACTTGCTGCTGCAAATCGTATCGCAACAACTCGCAGCAGACCCGTTGCCACACTGTGGGTCGACGTCTGCACAACAGTTGTGATTCCATGCGCACCCTGACCACATCGCTTACGGTTTCCAGACGCTCCACCAACAAGACAAACGCCAGGGTCATCATCTGCGAGCGGCCCAACAAGGTAATCACCGTGCCGGCCATGTCCGAGGTATGATAGCTGGCGCACTCGACTCGCAAGCGTTCAACGTTTGCGATCCGGGGGCCGACGTCCTTCAGCGATGCGGAGTTTCTATAAGTGAATAGCTGCTCCCCCTTAGCAGGCTATACGAGGCTTAGACAATAAGTGCGAAAGTTGTGTATGCATAGCGCAAACCCAAATCGAACATACAGAAACAGATATATATATATATATATATATGTACATATATATATATACATATATATATCTATATGTCTATGTATGCTACGAGTTTCAATGCATGTATTTCCCATTGCAATTTATCTTAAGTATTTATGCAGCTAGCTCGTAACAATTACCGTAAATCTAAACTCTATTTTAACTGAATTAGGATTTGGCATCACTAAGCATTCGGGCGTGGATTTGTTTTATAATTTATACTATGAAACCTTTCCTCTTTTCGCCTAATGCCAGGTGATGTTACTTTAGTAAAACACTCCTACGCGTATTCTATTTATCAGACTGATGTTATTTATTTACACGAAATTTAAGTAATTGCATTTCTTTTCTGTCCAACTAGCTGTAAGCCAATTAAGTATTTACAAATATACATATACTTACATATATACATATACTTATATATTTAATAAAATATATATACTCCCTATCTAATTGTCTCTCTATATACCAATCTTCAATCTGTAAATATACTTAAATATTTAGTAGAACTTAAGTGTGCACAACTTGTCCAAGCATTGAAAACCAAAATCCGTAGACTCTTAACAAAAACTTAAGAATTAATAGAGCATAACGTTTTAGTCAATTTGGTGTAAGCTAATATTTATTTCATAATTATGTGTATCAAGAGCATGAAGAATAAAGGCCAATAAAATAAAAAAAAATATGAAATAGAGAAATCTGCGGCCTCGCATTTTAATTCATTTTGGCATGCGCCACAAATTTCATTCGTAGGTCTCCATGCAACAGCGCACAATGGGCCCAAGGACGACGCGACAAGGACCAAAGTCAGAACACAGAGAACAGCCTGGGACAGCTGAGGACATGACGGCACAGCTCATTTTCATTCTCACTTCATTTATAATTGTTGTACTGTCTGCGGCTCTTGACGTCAATGGCCAAAAGTCAACGTCAACACAATAAATTCAGCGTATGTCTGCATAAAATAGGAGAATACATTTTATTATTCTTCGACTGCGTATATGGCCCAAACGTTATTTGACTTCGGCTATATAAATAGCACAAATGATATAATCGCCAACAAAGCTCGATTACCAAGCCAAACTTATAATAATAAATGCCGATAATACAAACAGCCGCTAAATTACGGGCAGTGAATGCAGTTTTTTGACAATGTGCTTCATTAGAAGCGTGGCTAGGCGTAAACAATTTGCAGAAAGTCATTCATAATTTACTTAGCAACTTTTAATTGAAATACCATTAGAGCGAAAGTCGACTGGACGAAAGCAAAGAAGAGAAATAAACACAATATTTTATATGTATGTATATATATATATATATATATACATACAGCTGATGTTAAGCTGATATCATAGAAGAAACTTTAAGAATTGTTAAACTGCATAAATTATTAATTCATAATGTGGCGTGACTGCATTTAGATATATAGATTGACATAGATCGGAGAACTATAATGAGATATTTCTTTGAGTAGGATAAGAGAAAAAGTTGGAAAACTTTAAATATTTACAACCTGCATATGGGTGTGAAAGAAAAAGGTAATGCCAGGGGGCATTCAACTGAACAGAACTACTCTGACTATGACACATTTTGGATTTTCCTTCAAAATCATCGAAATCTAACACTTTAAAAAATAAATTCGAATTTATCGAAACTGTCGTTGAATCCATAGTTCGCAATCATATGTCGCTTGTGTCATAGTCAAAATCAAAGTACAGTACAATTTCTTTCGAACAATTTCTGTCTCTTAAATTTATGTGCCGCTCGTACTTTCAACTCGAGAAACTATGTTTCCCAACTATTGCTTCACAAAGGCTCCCAATGATTATGGCTATGACTTGTTGTATATGCCGAAGAACAGCTATAAGCCCAGTTGCCATCAGTCGAGTCGTGGCGACTCGCGTCCATTGCGGCAGCGCAGCCAGGTCAAAAGTTATGACCCCGTTTCGCAGCAGCCGCTAAAAGAGCACCTCGAGGGACTGCGCAGCTTGCACGGTCAGCGGTCACCCGGTCGATCGGTGGAATTTAACCTGCCTGATCAGCAACTTTACAGGGAAAGGGAAAATGCTGGCGGCATTGATCGGGAATACAACAAAAATCTGCTACAGGACACGTTACAACAACACCAGCAACATGCAGCTCCTGCCTCGAATAACGTACCTGATTTTAAAATGGGAACCTCAGAGACATGCTCCGACTTTTTCAATATCCTCTACGATAATGTGTTAGATGCGGTGCATGCAGCGATCGATCAAATGGTGACCAAGCACTTTTCTCATATAATATCCAGAATGGAACAGATTTCCTCCAATCTAACGCAGCAAGAGTCGCTAATGAAGCAGCAGAATAGCGATGTAATGGGGAGTAAGTGAACACGAGCTTCTCATATAGCGATTATAACTTTCTATTCAACCAGTAAACCTCTAGAAATTCTTGATCAGAATGAGTCAAGCCTCAATCAGTTCAAGTTCGTTGCCCAGATGCTCATCGACAATCAAACTCTGTTTTATCGTGCGCTCAACAACGTGCGAACATCAAAAAAACACTGCAAAGATAGCCCCACGGAAGAGAGCAAATGTTATAGTGTGGATTGTGGTCAGCGCCTATTAGACGAATACGAGATAGAGCAGAAGGAAAGTCCTTCGAAGCAAAGGCCTCAGCATCAGCTTTGGGAGCAGCAAGACTTACAAACTATAAACCAGCTGCCAACGTCCAAGAGCTGCCACCACAAGGCCTCGAAGTGTGGAAACGCCAACACCTCGAAGATCACAAGTCTACAGCGATCGGGCAAGAGAATTTCCACGGCCAGCATGCCTGATTTGCATCGCTCGACGCTATTCCCTTCATCTAGGACGCCCATCTGCAAAAGCACTAAGTATTCCCACCAACGTTCAATCACGCCAACTCCGTGGACGCATTTGGGAACTGGGATACGTGGCAGCCAAGCGACACAGCCGAGCACAACGGGATCAAATCGCAAATGCCGCTGTCAGATCAGCGCATCCACGCCCACACAAGCACAATCACTTGGCTCGAAGCGAAAGTTACGTAGCTTTGGCAAATCATTGCAAAGTTTGGAAGATGAAAGATTCCACAAATAAACCATCTTTAAGCACTGATTAAGGCCTGAACGCCAACCTGCGATAGCTGCCAATTGTGTTTCATGGTATTTTAAGCTCCCATGCACACAGTTGACAGCCATACTTGGTTGGCGCAGTGCTTAAATTATTTATAAATTATACAGATTTTACAAATTTATTGTAGTTAAAGATTTTACAATATTAAGAAAATTATAAATGAACAACAGACACTTCAATACACGAATGAACACTTTGTACATAATAATAATGAGGTAAAGCAGAATCGAGCTTCTATAATTCTTGAGTAAAATATTTAGAAATCCTCAAATAGAAATCCTTGTAAATAGAGAAAATATATATACTATACATAAATCGAAAATTTTTTTAAATCAACACAAAAACCGATTAATTAAAATTAATCAAACATTTTATCTAGAATTTGGCAACAAATAAAAGGGAACCTCAATCCGAGCTCTCGACAATAGTTGCTCGACTTTTAAGTTGTACCGTCTCATACTGCCTTCTCTTGAGCATATATCGCTGAACGAATGGGGCCAATAGTTGAGCATCCACACAGGTCACATCCTGACGTCCGAAAAATAAAAAGGTAGCCAAGTTCGATATTATAATGTTCAACAAGGCACCAGTCATGGTATACAACAGGAAAGATATGTGGTAAATAGATGAGCCGCTGTGTGGTTCACTATAAAAAAAAGGTATTAAAAGTATATAAGTAACAACTCTTCAGGTTTTACACTTACTATTCGACTGTTGAGTTCAGATAGCGAGTCTTATCGAAATCGTAGGTGCAATTTTCCACGGAGACTGGCAGCTGGGCATGGCGAAAGGAGCCTGTGACATTGGCTATTTGAGCATTGACCGCAACCCAGGCCATAATAGCAAACGATACGATGCTGCTCATGAACATGCTCTGAAAATATGTGAAAGTCAAATAGATATGTCCTCGATTTTAGTTGATATAAACACACCTTCTCTCCCACCCAGGGCATTAGCATGCCCACGGTAAAGATGCCCAGCATGGGACCGTACAAGCTGGACTGCAACGAGGCTGACAGCTGCAGCACCATGCCCAGATGCTCCACCACATAAACCATAAAGATGGAACTAATGCCAAATACGACCACCACCAGACGCATAGTCAGGGCAACAGTGCGCTCCGTCATGGGCTTATTGATTCTTCTCATGCGTGGCTTCACAAAGTCTTCGAGTACGACAGCTGCCAAAGAGTTAAGCAGCGTCGAGAGCGAGCTGAGTGCAGCGCTGAATACGGCAGATACAAAGAGACCCGGCAGTCCAGGCACAACTCCCAGCACTCGCATAACCAGAAGTGGTACAAGCTGATCCCGACGTCCAGCCAGCTGTATGGCGAGCGAAAGACAAGTTGCAAAACCGGTTTATAATAAGCTACATATCAGACTCACTCCCGTGGCCATCGGATCGCAGTCATAATAGGCTGCATAACACACCAGACCCACGTAGATGCAGCCCATATAGAGTAGGATCAAGCCAATAATAAAGATGAACAGCGTTTGCTTGATATGCCTCAAGGAAGGTAACGACATGAAGCGTTGAATGGTCGCCTGATTGATGGCAGTGCTCTGCAGCTTAAAAAAGGTGCCGCCTACGAAAACTGAAAAGACGCTCATGCGCACCGTGGGATCCAGGCTCCATCTACAGAAAAAAAGTTGGCATTCATAGCTGTCTCTTAGATATCTTATCCTTCTTTTCATACTACTCACTCAGGTGAATTGATTCGACCGCCCTCCAAGTTACGCTGCCAAATTACACCAAATCCGCCGAGATCCATGGTGCCCTTGATCATAATTACCACCAGAGAGCCATACATGACCACACTCTGTACGGTGTCTGTCCAAACAACGCCCTTCATGCCCCCGACCGTTGTGTAGAAGGTGCAAATAATAATCACAATGGGCGTTATGGTATGCACGCCAATTCCACTGACTTGGTTGAAGGTTAGCGCCGGCACATACACGGCAATGGGTAGCCAAACAATCTGGAAAGGAACAAAGGAACATTAGCTATGCCTTTAAAGCAGTCTCCAGTTTCTTACCGCCTTGAGCACAAACAATGAGGCACCAAATAATCTCATTCGCCTGCTGAAACGTCTCTCAAAGTACTGAAAGAGTGAGTGTGTATAAGTATTGATGTATTGATAGAAAAGTGGAAATGCTCTGGGCATTCAAGACAACCAGCTGAAAACTAAGTTTAGAGTTAATCAAAATTTAAATGTGCAACAGAACAAGTCTTAGGGCTAAGGCAAAACTACAAAGTATGCGGATGTCTTGAAACAGTTTATTGATCCATAAGATTAGAAGGCGTAAGACTAGTTTGATGCTTGCTCCACTTTCTCTTCCAGCTTGAGTTGCGTCACGGACTCGTGTAGTTCCAGCTGCTTTATTTCCTCATCATCGCTGGCCACACTGTTGTACGCTCCATACCAATAATTCTGCAAAACCGGCGTAACCAACTCCCTGTCCACGAGGCGAACATCCTGTTTGCCAAAGTAAAGTGTGGCCAGCAGTGAACAGAGCAGTGTTCCCAGAGAACCAATCAAAGTGTACCACAAAAACGATATCTCATGCAAGCTGAAATTCTTGCCCTCGGAAGGAGTTCTATATGTAAGATTTGAAATGTTAAGAGCCAAACTTATTTATCGCCCAGAACGAGAGACATACGCGTTGGTCGTTGCATTCCAGTTGGAGTGTCGCTTAAAGCTGTAGTCGCAATCGTCGACGGAAACAGGTTTTGCGGTAAAAGTCATTTGGCCGGTGGCCATGGCAATCTGTGCCCGCACAACAATGTAAGCTGTAAAGCTGGTGGCCACTGAAATGCCGGTTAGCAAGCTCTGCAATAGAAACATAAGCATGGTCGTAATTGGTTAGGTCATCCACTGGCAAGACCCCAATCAAACCTCTGTCCGCACAAACGGCAACAGCATGCCGACTGAAAAGGCGCCAAGCAATGGACCACAGGTGATTGCAGCCACTGTGGATGATAGCTGCATGACCATGCCCAATTTCTGCACAATCGGCACGCTGGCCATTGAGATGAAGCCAAAGACGATTACCACGCCTCTCAGCACATAGGCAGTCTGCCGCTCGGTTAGTGGGCGACTGCGGTATGGTTCGACAAAGTCCTTCAGCACCACCGCCGACAGAGAATTGAGTGCGGTAGAAAGCGAGCTAAGAGCTGCACTAAACACGCCGGCGACAAACAGGCCCACAATTCCGGGCACCATGCCAGCGCTTTGCATTACATACAAGGGTATCACCTGATCCTTGGCACGTGCCAACTGCAAATGAAAGTGACAGATGATGATTAATTGAAAGTATGACACCTTAACCTTCACCTTTCTCATCAACTTGTTTACTCACACCCGTGGTTATGGGATCACAATGATAGTAAGCAGCGAAGGCGAGTATGCCAAGATAGATGCACATGACCATGACAAGCATGAAGCCTATGAGGGACAATAAAAGCGCCTGCTTGACAGCCCTGATGTTGGGCAAGGTCATAAAACGCTGAACTGTGGGCTGGTTTATGCAATTAGCCTGCAGCTTAAAGAAGGCGCCTCCAATAAACAGGGCCAGAACACCCATGCGAGCCGTTGGATCCAGTGTCATGCTGGTAAGGGATAAAATACATTTTAAAACAACACTAAGCTAGTAAACAATAACCTACTCGGGACCCACCAGGCGCTCAAACTGACGGTTGCGTTCAAGCACCACAGACAAGCCACCCAAGTCGACAGTTCCTTTGATTATAACAAAGCCCATGGCACCAATCATGACAACTCCTTGTATGACATCCGTCCAAACTACGCCCTTAATGCCACCCTATTGACATCAAAAAAATTTAGAAATTCCATTAGACTTAGCTTGTAGAACTTACGATGCTGGTGTAGACAATGCATATCAGACTGGTAATTGGCACGATTGTATGAACACTTATGCCAGAAACTGTAAAATATATATATGACTATAAATATCACTGTATGATCAGCCAATAAATATGATAAAGCCCACCTTGATTCAGAGTGAGAGCGGGCACATAAATGCATATTGGTTGCCAAAGGATCTGTAAGAAAAAATAATAAATTATATATGAACATATATAAATATAAAATATATATATGTATATATAAATATTATACAAAAATATGTTCTTTCAATTCAAGCACTCCATACTCACATTCATCAGTACAAATAGACATGATCCAAAGATGCGAATACGTCGATCGAAGCGTCTCTCAAAGTACTGCATAAATACAAAAATAAGATAAGACAAAAGCCATGATAGTATTATGGAGAATGTGATTAATTAAATGAGAATTAAATGTCAATTACTAAACAGCAACCAAGTAAAAAGCTATTTGGAAAATCAACATGGTTTTATTAGCAATATTTCAAGTAGATTGTCTTTAACATTTCTGTAACAGGTCAGGGCGCCTCGGGTTGAGCCTTACGCCTGAACAGCTCCTCCAGATCGACAGCCTGATATTGTTTCTTGGGCAGAAAGCGACGCATGCAAGGCGTGACTAGAGCCGGATCCATTTCAGATACATCCTGCCAGCCAAACACAAGGCTGGCCAGCAGGGCGACCACAGTGCAAACGAATCCGCCCAGCGCTGTGTACCAAAAGAACGACAAATGATAAATGTTACGATCTGTTGAAGGACTGCGAATTGAAGTCAAAATAAACATCTGAAATAATTTCACAACAATTTCATACTTACCTGTACCCATGCAGAGTGCTCCAGACAGTCGCATTGTCGTAGGCATAGTCACAGCCCGACACTGAGACAGGCATCTTTGGATACCGAATCTCGCCCTGCATTAGCGCTAGCTGAGCCTTAATACAGATCCAAGACAGGACAACAAAGGAAACCAAGCTACCAGTTAAAACACTCTGGAAAATGATTTGCTTTAGTAAAGACCGCAGAATACAAAATTGAAGAGAAGCTAACTTTAGCATTAACCCAGGGCAGGCACACGCCCATGACATAAATCCCTAAAAGCGGGCCCATGGAAACAGCCGAGGTGGTGGTAGCCAACTGCAACACCATGCCCAGCTTGTCTACCACGTTGACCAGGCCCATGCAGCCCAAGCCAAAGAAGACGACGATGGCGCGCAGCAGGAAAGCAGTTTGACGTTCGGTCAATGGCTTCTTTAGCAACGGACGCACCAAATCCTGTGAGATTACGCATGCCATTGAGTTGAGTCCTGTGGACAGCGAACTCAAAGCAGCGCTAAAAACGCCGGCTACAAACAGTCCCGGCAGACCAGGCCACGCGCCCAGGGTGCGCATCATAAGCAGCGAAGGCAACTGATCGCTGGCTCTGGCAAGCTGCATACAAAAATGTGAGAGATGTTTCATATAAGACAGCACTCTACTCACCCTTGTGCTAATGGGATCGCAATCGTGGTAGGCAGCATAAGTCACCAAGCCCATGTAGCTGCAGCAGCTCAAAAGGAAGATGAGGAGGACAGTATACAGAAACATGCATTGCTTTGCATGCTTATAGCTGGGCAGCGATAGAAAGCGTTGAATTGACACCTGATTAACGTCCGACGATTGTATTTTGTGCAAAGTGCCGCCCACTAACACAGACAACATGGACAGACGTACGGTGGGATCCCAGGTCCATCTGTGTATAATTAAAAGCCTCAACGAATTTTGCAAAGTTAACTAAGTTCAATAATTACTCCGGCGCATTGAGACGCCCACTGTCCTGATTTCGCTGCAGCACCACACTCAGGCCGCCCACATCGTAGGTGCCCTTGATGCAGACTGTCAAAATGGAACCATACATGACAAAGCTCTGGATGACATCTGTCCAAATAACCGCCTTAAGACCGCCCTGAAATGATTAGACTTCGTGTGTGAGCTACTGCCAAGCCAGGCCGTATTTAATTAAATCTTACCACACACGTATAGAAAGTGCAAATAATGCAAACAATGGGCGTGATGACATGGATGCTAGTGCCGGTTACTGAAATTGTTTAACTATAGCTTCAATGCCAGAGACCAAGTGGGCACTCACCTTGATTATAGGTGATGGCAGGTACATACAAGGCCACAGGTAGCCACAGCATCTGCATTTAATATTTTTGCTGAGTTTCAAAATGAATTTCAATATTTTTGAGTGCTTACCATGCCGATAATAAATAGTATAGCCCCGAAATTTCGAATGCTGCTACCATAGCGCAGCTTAAAGTACTAGAATTAATATTTTCATTAGCTGATAGACAATTCAAAATACTTATTGATTGATAAATTCAAGATTCCACCAGATATTTACAAGATCTTTAGTAGCAAGTCAGTGCAAATGGATGCATATTAGTGACATTCCTATGTACAGAAAAAACACACATATATATACAGTTATATTTATATATATAAGACATTAACAGATTAGTCTAACTTGCAGTCAAACACGGCGGATACTTAATCAAAACTTTTATTACAAGTCTTAAGTCGTAAGCACATGTTAAGTTATTTAGGCAGACTTTAATACGGACTCATTAAGCTCCACGCTGGTATATTTGCTTTGATAGAAGCGTCGCACGCAAGGCGCCAGCAGCTCCACGTTCACATCCTCCAGGTCGGCACGTCCAAATACGAAGCTCGAAAGACAGCCAATAAGGATGCCCAGAGCAGATGAAAATAGTGTGTAGTTCATAAAGGATGTATGGTAGATTTGCTGCAAAAAGCTGAGAGAACTTTTGAAGAAAGAAATTACTATTTGAAAAGCCAGTGAAGCTCAAGCTGCAACTTACGCCGGCTCCGTAGCAGTCAAAGTGGCATTTGCCAACGTCACCTCTGGCAACACGTACTGATAGTCGCAGCCCTCGACACTAACCGGCTTGGTTTCATAATGCACCTCACCCGAAACGGTGGCCAGCTGTGCCTTGACGCACAGCCATATCATGAAGATAAAGGAACAGAACGCGCCAGTTAGAGCACTCTGTAAGGTATGGTAAACATAAAGCATATTCGAATCCGCAAACTAAATTCAATACAAACTTTTGAGTTGAGACGCGGGCACAGCATGCCCATCACAAATAGCGCAAACAATGGACCCTGTGTGACCGAGCTGAGTATCATGAACAGCTGCATCACATGTGTGCCCATGCGTTCCACCCCGAACACCAGCGTCGTGCTCAGGGTGCCAATAATAACTGTGCAGAGGCGCATTGTGAAGGCCGTTTGACGCTCTGTCAGAGGTTTTTTGCAAAGGGGCTTGATGTAGTCCTCCAAAAAGACAGCAGCCATTGAATTGAGCGCTGTGGATAACGAACTGAGCGATGCACTAAACACGCCAGCCACAAACATTCCGCACACGCCAGGATATGAGCCCAGCGTATCCATCACAAGCAATGGCACCAGCTGATCCTTTGCCTTAGCTAACTGCCAATCAATCACAAAAGTTGAGCCTGGCAACAGGAACACAACAGGACGTACGCCAAACACATACCTTAGTAGTCAGCGGATCGCAATCGTGGTACGTGGCGAACAGCAACAAGCCATTATATAAGGTCAGCGACGTTAAGAGGACGACACCTACGCCAAATAACAAGGAACTCTGTCCCATAGCCTTCACATTTGGCAGCGACAAGTAGCGCTGCGTGATGATCTGGTTGCAGCCGATATTGTACGTGGAATGTGCTGTGTAACCAATGAACAAGGCGAAGACAGACATGCGCACCTTCGGATCGAGTGTTAATCTAGTTGATAAATGAAAATATTTCGATTTTTGTTCCAAAATCTCAGTCAGACTTTATCAACTTCTTAATTGATTGCTGAAATTGTAAATCAAATGTGAAACACTTGACTATCACCTACTCGGGCCACTCGAGGCGTCCGGTTTCCAGATTCCGTTGTATGACCACACCCAGACCGCCCACATTCATGGTCCCCTTGATGACAACAATAATCACGGCGCCCACCATTATTACGGTTTGAATAACATCCGTCCAGACGACAGCCTTCAAGCCGCCAACAGTGGTGTAAAATATGCAAATAATACACACCGCAGGCGTAATTATATGAACATTTACGCCAGTCACTGTGAACGGAAAGCGCAACAAATGAAACAAGCTGCGGATGATCTGATTGAAAACGTACCCTGATTGAAGGCCAATGCTGGCACATAGATGACGATTGGCAGCCAGATAAGCTAAGATGTGGTAGATGATAATTGGTTATTATTCTGTATGTGTGTTGTGTCTATCGATTGGGACTCACTGTGGTTATACTAAAGAGCCCCGAGGCAACTAGACGAGTTGTTTTGTTGAAGCGCAGCTCGAAGTACTGTAAGCATTTATTTGATTTGGTATTTTCTCTTCTTTGGACGTAGACAGTCCCAACATGCACGTGTACAAACATATAAAACGAATACACACAGCGCGACGCACACATACTCGAATATTACGCATACGCCATGTAGCCGATATCACTGACAGCTTACGAGCCACCACCACATATCCGTCTGTTGGCCGGCAACGAAACAATTGGTTTTCGCACACAGAAACTAGTCCCTGTACTCCTATTTAGAATTTTCTGGCAAACGCACACAAATATTTCACTTGACACAAGAGCAACAACGCTTAAAACAATGCTCGGACTCTTCCTAGAAGCTCTTACTGCCTGGCAAGAAAATAACTTGCACGCATATTTGTTTTTGACAATGGTCCATGCTGTGTTCTACAAAATGCCCTTGATGTTGTCTAGTTTGATTTTAACATCGACAACGAGCTTCAACGTTCGACTGACCGGAGTTTCTTTCAGAAATTACTTATTTATAGATATATATTAACATTTTACTTATAAATACTTAATTACAAAATACTTACAACATGCATCACAATGTAACAGGAAAATTTAAAATGCAACAAATATTTCATGCAACATGCTCTTGGAGTACCTAAACACCAGAAGCAAAATAATCTTCAGCATGCCGAAGTCTCAACAACCTTCAGTTCAAGAGTTTTGCCCAAATTTTAGACAGAAACTTAATTTTGTATAAATATTTTCTCTGACTTAAAACAAATACAGAAGTATTTTTGGTATTATTTGAAGTATATATTAGAAATAGTGGCATATTAGATAGCGTTCAACTCACCTCATATGTGGAAGTCAATTGTAGATTGCAGAAAACGGGTAAGAAGATATACCACGATATAAGTCCCGATATGGCCAGGGTAACCAGTATGAATGCATATTGTGTACCATAGACATAAATCTCCGTTGACGTGCCCAGCAATGATATGCCCGAAACAAAACTATAAAAATGAATAAAAAAAATAAAAACAAAATTAGTAAAAATAAAATAAATTTAATAAACAAATTCTAAGACTTGAGCTTCAATAGCGCCTTAAAAAATGGGATTTGTGCTAAAAAAAATAAAACAATTACAACCGCAAATCTCTCCCACTATTTGGCAAACCTCAATTGTGTGTATCCAAAAAATTGTCATACCATATAAGCAAAGATAACCAAAATTCAAGTCTTGCCAAAACTCTCCTCCAGGGAGACGTCTTTGTTGACTCGTAAACAAGTATGACATGATTATTCGAAATATCTGAATTTTCCTTAGCTAAAGCAGAAGAATATATTCCTTAAAAGTAAAAATATGAGAGGTCCTAAATGAAAGTGAAGTGAAATGAAGTGAAACTGCTGCTACCGCAGTAAGTGGAAAAACTTTTCAAATCTTTTATATATATACTACACATATATATACATATATATTTATATATATATATTTTGAAAAAAAAAACATAATTTGAATCTGACGATTAGTGTACACAACAATCATCATTTTGGTACAGCCCCAAGATATGTGCATTGCCCCAAAGTTATGGCTGTGGCTGCAGAAAAGTTTCTTACAGTCAAAATACCATTAAAAGTTGATAACAAGTAGCATCAAAGTATGCAGATGCAGGCTCAGAGACCACTATAATACGAATTGAATATGAAATGAAATACCAAATTTCAAAAATAAAATATAAAACCATATTGGAACAGCTCACACAAATGGAGCGAGCGAGCGAGAAAGAGCTGCCAAATAATTGTGATTCAAGGCACGTTGCCAGAATTTGTTGCAGAATGTAAACGATGGTGTGCAGAATGAAGGACAACAGTAAAAGGCGCACAAAACAATTGTCGTCGGGGCAAATGACCAAAATCTGGCCAGGAGAAACAAGAGCTGCAGAAGTATTTGGTCGCACCGCTTTAGTCAATTTTTTTGCTTTTGCAGTCATTAATGCGGTGACAATACGCCCAGGACAAAAGCTCTGCGCCGTTGAAAGGTGTTTGACCAAACGTGTTAAATAGAATGGGGCCATAAGCGTGGCCAACTCCAAGGTCGGTAGCCAAAACAAAAAGTAATTTGGCAAATTATTTGAGTTTGCGGCTGCTGTAAGTTTAAATAACTTCAATCAGGCTTAGTTCGCTTAGCGTTGAGTGGGTGCCCGGCCAAGCGTCCAGCGAAACGAGCTGCTAAATTGTATATTTAGCAAAAAAGTTATGCAAGTTCCCAACGGCGTATCGACGAGCATTATCTGCATAATCATCAGGCATAATAAACTTGACCCTGACACTCTATATTGTATTATATTTTTGGATTTATTCTCGCTCGCTTTTCATTGCTGTTCGGGACAAAGTTTGAACAAAATTTCTTTTGTTTGCGCTGACAAACATCTCTCCAGACGCCGCTGGGCTCGCATAGATATATATATATATATATATATATATATATATATATATATATATATATATATATATATATATATATATATACGAATTGTTTTTCTTAGATTCCGCATACGCACGGCTAGTCGCGGCTACCTTGCAGCAAATCAAGTGAAATTAGGCACATATTTTTGATTGCTTTCCGAGAAACTGCCGAATTTCGTTTGGATAAGCATTGTGCAAAGACCAATCTGTATAATCAATGTCAGCCAATTTTTGATTACCTAAAAACTCTCAGAGATGGAGGAATTTTAATTTTCTTATGGCATTTTTGCCAGACAGTCTATTAACTTTTTTATACTCATTCACGAAGTGAAGAGGTATATTGGTTTTATGCAATATCCGTCTTGCGGTACGAACTTCCATCCGTCCCTATAAACACAAGCCATTTGGCCGCTATTGAAACTATAAATTTGGAATATATACCCGTGGGTACCTTCGCCAAAACCCAAAATTTGGCAGTTACTGTCACGCCTAGTGTGGGCGGGGCAAATCGGGAAAAACTTTATCTTCTGCAGTTTTTCTTTAAGGAGTCAGTTACTGTTCACCTCCTCTATTGAGGGCGTGGCAGATAAATATAAATATATTTTGCAAGAATGCCAAGCAAGATATTTAAGAATTAAAAGACTTCCGAAAACCACTTGAATTTAAATATTTTTTAGATAAACAGCACACAGTGCAATATTCTAAGGCAACTACTTTTTCTAATTAAGTAGCTATAATTTATTTAAAGGCATTTCATTAATTTTAGTATTTTTTGTACAACTAATTTACCTTGACTATTAGGCTTGTAAGCAATTTAATGTACTTTTCTTATCGGTGTGACATAAATAGAATCTGTGACCGAAACAGACAGGCAGAAAAAATAATGGCCAGGTTCGTGTAGAATTCAATTGAAGCCAGAATTACAAAATTGCTTGACCCGGCCAGCACACAGAGCAATTCCATTAGGCACTGCACGCTCCAGTCGAGGCAATTAAATACGCCTCGTATATCCTACGTCATGCCCGAAGGGGCGGCGCCCCAGCCGCATTTACATACTGTTGCTATTTGCTGTAACTCACCTAGCGACCAGTGATAGCGAAACCGGAAACACTTTCATTTTGCGTCCACCCACCAAGTAATCCAAGGCCTCCGAGCCGCGGCGCTCGTCCATACCAGCGGTGCCGGCGCCATCTTTTTCATCCGTGGACACTTGGCCTTTTTGCTGTTTCTTCTTCTTCTCGATGAAACCGAAGTAGAAGCCAATTACGGCGCAGACCACCAGCATGGCTATGAAAACCAAATAATCAACAATGCCAAAATGTTGCAGTGCGCTGCTTAAATCGCTCACGCTGGGCTTCTCTGTCATGCTGGAGGACGATGTTGTTGTTGACAATGCTGTGGCTATTGCTCTTGCTGTGGTGTCAGTGGTCGTGGTGGTGGTGCTGTCGACGGTGCTGATGCTAGAGCTGGGTAAGGCTGTGGGTTTTGACGTTGTGCTGCTAATTATGGATTGGACTGTCTGAACAATCGCATTGACCACTGTCGGCGGCGTATTAACAGCCTCTACCGCATCCATTATTATTTCCTCCCTCTCAATGGTCGTTGACATAATTCCGCAGACCGCAAGTTGCTTTTATGTGTTTATTTTTATTGACTTCCTGCCGTGTTGCCCTAGCGCACTTTTTGCCTAAATGTGTTCGGCTTTGATTACTTTTGTATTCGTTTACAGACACACACACATACACACACGCTTAGACACTTGTTGCCTTCTTCGATTTTTCATTAAGCTCTTGCCACAAGCTTGTGTAGCCTAATGACAGACACTCTCAACTTTGCCACAAGTTGAGTTGAAAGATTAGAAACTGTTGTATACTAACTGATTAGGGCTAACATTTCCTAACACAAATAAAGAATTTGATAATAAGGAAATCTTTGGCACTTTAATTAATTTTGAAAAACTTATTTAAAAATTAATTCTTTTATTTTTATTAATAGTACGAAAATTATAAAATAACCAACAGCGTAGTAAACATTTCACTTCAATTGACAAATCATTTTGATATGCCCTGCAAAATCCCTTTGAAACAGGATAAAAACACAGATTAATCAAGCGCTCACACAATCTACGGGCACGAATCGCAGTGAAAAACTGAATTTAATGCCCACACGAGCTGGGCATCTGCTATGGCTCTGGTGATCAGCTATATTTATGAAAGACGAACTCATAATTCATGTAAGTCGTGTCTGTGTGTCGAGGTCTTTATCAACAGATTTAGCGGACGTATATATTGGCGAGACAAAAGCACTCACCACTTGCTGATGGACGGAGGTGTCGCGGGAAAGTCTTTGTGTGTCATTAGATGATTCCAAGTTATACGAGATAAACTTAGATAAAACTGTTATTCCGAATAGCTTTTGCTTAGTTTTTTTCCTATCATCAGGTAGTCTGACAGACAGGTGTTTTGTTGACATTCTTAATAACACCTTGATAACTCTGATCTTCACTGGATGTTGGCAGGTGCTACTGGTTATGCTTACACTGAACAACAAACACTTAAGATGGAAAAAAAATATATATATAACAGAATATTATAGTATGGCTTATTGTCTCATTTATTAAAATTATAATAGTAAATAGTTTTCGTATATTGAATCTTTTTTTGGTTGTTTAGTGTAATTACCCACGATGCAGTTCCTTGAAAGATTTGCCGTTTGTTTTATTTGTTTTATGCGCCCGGAAAGACCATAAACAAGAGTCTGTGAACACATGGCGTATGCGTGATATGGTGTCCAAATTTTTAAGAAATTGAAGTTGAAGTTGAAATTGAAGAGCTCTGGAATAATAGCAAAACAAATTACATGCTCAAAGAAAAAGCCCAAGTGCAGTAGCTCAAATTTTAACGAGACTCTGACATAGTTTTTACAAAGGTCGGCAGCAATTGTCGCGTCGTTATCTCGCGCACTGCACTGCAAAGTGCTATTTTTATTGACTTCAAGCAATGTACATTAATGGCTATACAAAGGCGTAATGCACACGGATCGTGCGTCAATTGATGCTAGATGTAAGAGTCTACAAATACCATATAATAATCTCTATACACATCGAGTGATTATGCTAGTTAACTGCATTTTGAAAGCACCTGTAAAACGAAAATGAAAACCAAATCATTTTGTAACTACCATTGGAATTGGACCTGTAACTAAACTCAGTTATTCGCAATTGGTTGTGGCTTAGGTAATTTCATGTGAAAATTCAATTTGCAAGCCCATCAAGTGTGTTACGAGGCGTATGCGTAATATTTGAAATTGAAGTAATTGTGGAGAAACAAATTTGAACAACTGCAACGTGTTTATAACAAACCGCCTTACAACAAAAACTCTTATTAAATTGTATGTGTAATTTCATAAATCTGAATCTGCTAGCCGAGTAGATTTACCCTTTAGGTGCCAGACCACAACAAAAGCCAACAGAAATTGATTCAGTCAGGGGCCAAAAGGACGCAAAGAGCTGCACAAAATTAAAATTTAATTTTTTGTTTTGTAAAAAATTATAATATTAAAAGCGAAAAGCAGAAAACAAGCTTAAGCAAAAAATAATAAGAGCCTGGCATAGGTCACATAATTAGCAGAGCGAAGAACGCAAAAACTTGACCTCTTTTTTGTGGGTCCTGTATATATGTATACAAAAACAAATATATATATACCTTGCTTTTAGCTTTTAAATGCGTCTAGGAGTACCAGCTAGTTGGACTTTATGGCAAAAGCCGAAAACAATCAACGGCTGCTTTACTTTAATGCGTGGGCGAAACTCTTTCTCTCCTCACCCACTCACAGCTCTACTTGAGCTGCCGTATAGATACAGTGTAAAGGTATTTCTATACTTTATGGGAAATATCCGAGTCTTTTGTTTGTTATATTGTTTCTGTCACTTGACTTGACTTTAGCATCAGTTTGTCGTGTTCAACATTTCTATACCCCGTAACTTAAGACAGCTTGGTAGCGATATGGGTTGAAGGAACTGTAAGCCAGAGCAATGGATGATGGTATGAAACCCTTTTATTTGTCAATCAAGTTCAACTTAATCTTGTAAAGCTACATTGAGATATTTGGTTTCGGGACTAAAGACCTAGACGTCATTATATTGTATATATATAATATAGCTCTCCAACACAGAGTGCCCGGTAGTCCTGTACGCTCTACTAAAACAGTTGAAAGAGTTTTGTTTTCTTTCTTTTTCGTATTGCACACATTTAAGCCAATTTAACGCTTCCGTGTGTTTTTGCTGGCCTCGCCCCGCTGACTGCACGCTTCTCGTGCTGCCGTAAAAGCGAAATACGCTCGGGCAGACTTTTATTTACTTTTAGCTTCCAACTACAACTGAGCAAAAAAGTGTGCAAAAGCCCCTGCTGTAACTTGTTAAATGCACATTGTTGCAGAAACTCTTATCTTGCATGGGAGTTTATCTATCTTGATAACGAACATAAATATTATCAAATAATTGGATTAATATGCAGTGAAGTGAAGTTATCGAAGGGTTATTAATACACGATTTAATCAACTAACTGAAATCAGTAGCTCAATTTATGTATTTAAAAGCCAAGCGAATTTTTTCTTCTTTAAAAAACGCTATTAAATATACTTCAATATGCAGACTCTATTTTTTTTAAATTTTTAAATATTTTATATTAATGTAATAAATTAATATCATTTAAACTTAGCTTATATAATATACAAATAAGATCTCATTAGCATATTCAGCAAAGTTAATTAATCAAATCAAAGTCAGGCTAAGCACTCACTTCTGACCCATTTCAGCCAAGCTACGTCCTTGAACTTGGCGCCAAAGGCCAATGCCAGATTTATTTCACTATGTGGAAATTTATTTTATATGTCCGTTAGGACTTGGTGTGAATTGGTCTGCTGTTAATAGCAAGCATATATACGTGTATATATACATATATATATATATATATATAAATATATGTGAGTATTCAACTGTATAAGCAGAAAGTTGGCTCGTCCCTTTGGGAATTGAAGAATAGCCCATCAAATGAGTTAATATGCATGGGGCAAAAGTTTATTAGAAATGTTTGCAATATATAACTTAGGTCTGTAGGTCATCATATTTACATTGAAAGTTGTTCAATTTAAAAATATTTTAGCTACCAGACATATTATGGAAACCAATGGGCAAAGTTTAGCATATTTTCCTTGATTGCATACCTAGAAAGTTCAAAGGGGCCGAAAGAATTGTTATAAATTCAAATACTTACACATGCAACCATTAAAAAAATAATTTTGCAATCGAACTATTGTCTATTGAACTATAGAATGGGGCGTTTTTCTTTTCTAATTTTAAACTATTTTGATAACATACCAAAAATATTTCTGTTTTATTAACATTGATTGCGACTAACTGTAGATTATATTAATCATAAAAATTATTGCTTCAGACCTCCCAGAACTTGTTGAAGATAAAAATAAATCAATAAAACATTTTAAAAATAGTCTTAAATAAAAACTAAATTATTTTCTAAAACGCAGAACCTAATCACATTTCTTCGTACTTCTTCATTATCTCAATAACTGGCTCATTCAAATATTTGCGTACTTCTATGTTAAGGGCAAAATCCCCGTGATCCCACATAGGATCCTCCATATGATGCAGCCGTTTATTTGGCAGTCGATCGGAGAGCGCCAAGACATCCTCCACAGCGGCCATATTATCATTATCGGAGTACCATAAATGAAGCTCAGAGCTTATATTCTCAACTGGGTATTCTGGTGGCTGCTCCGATTTGTATATTTCCAGATTCTTTTGAGGCCCGTAATCGTACTGACGAAAGTGTCCCGACTGCTGCTCCTGGAGATAGTGCAGCATTTGATTGGTGGAGCAGCCGGAAGGATGTGTGGCCAAGCCATCCGGCATAGCAGTCTATTCAATAAATATAGTTTAGCTTAAGACAATGTTGCTTGATCTTGTTGTCTCTTACCATATTCGAACGACTGTCAGTGGACCAATTTTGTAGAGCATTTTCGCAAACGGGTCTCAGTTCATTATCAGCATCACAAAAGTTGGAGAACAAACTCAGCAGAAAATCGTTGTTTGGCAAAAATTCCTGATCTGCAAACAAAAGCGAGTATTCATTCCGATGTCCCAGATAGGGTCCCACTTTGCGGACTAACTTATTTTCCATGTTAGTCATTATCGCAATGGGCGCAAACATGTGAGCTGTTTTGATCTTCTCATTGTACTCGGGTCGCAAGGACATCAGTGTGAAAAAGACAGTTGTGCCCTGGGAGTGGCCGACATAGTGAATGGACTGCTGTCCCTGCCCGTTGGTCTTCAAGGCATAATCGATCATAGCTGCTATATCAAAGTACCCAATCTCATGCCAGCTGAAGCGCCAGAAGTAAGGATGTAGAGGCGAGCGTGATGTGTGATTCCTCGAATAGGTGTTGCCACGCCCATTTCCCAGCCAGACATCAAAACCGGCGTCAGCAAGCAGGTAAGGAAGACTGTCGTTTGGACCCGAAAGTATCCAAGCATCCGAGCAGCTTGTCAGTCCATGTTGAATTAATACAATGGGACGGATCTTGTTCTGATTCTGCAGCTTGTGGGAATAAGGTATACGAAAGACGCCCACTATGTAGCCATCCTCGGTGACAATGTGGTGGTGTTCCGCGGGATATCCATGTGCAGCAATGCGATCACGCTGAAGAACACGAATATGAAGAACAAAAAAGGATGTAAGGATTTCAAAGACTTACTGTTGTGCGTCGATCCTTAAAAGTTATATGGGCTTCCGGATTGTCATACAGCTTATAGAAGTCGATATTGGCTGGTGGTGCATTTACTGCTGCGCACTTTATGGCGACCACTAAACCAACTAATAAAATAGCAAAGGAAAGCAAATAGTTTTGCATTGCTAAATGTCTGAACTGCGACTGTGGCGAGTCAATCAGTTAGCTTCATGTTTTTAATGTGCATTATCATTAAGTGGTCTCAGATTAAAGAAACTTAAGATAGGAAAAGTGCAGAAAAGGAAAAATGCAGAAAAGGAATAACACAAATTTACTTGCAATAAAATATTGATTATAAGACATAAGTAGCAATACTTCTCTCGGACTTTACCTTACTCTCATTACTTGTATCTTCTCTTCTCTCGGAGTTTACTTTACTCCCAAAACAGGTCTATATTACTATTAATTAATGATCAACCTACAACAAAAACTTTTTTTATATAACACACTAAAGTGGAGCACTTGAAAAGTTTCATTAGTATGTTCTATGTAACAAGCGGTTCAATAAAAGTAGTATAATTATCATTAAGTGGCAATTCCAAAAAATATAGGTATTATTCGTCGAAACAACATTCCTATCTAATTGACGTAGCTTAACTTATCACTTATCTCGCCTATTAACTTTCGAGATGCTTATATTAAAGCGGCTAAATATAAAACTGATTAAAAGCCCACACATGAAGATTGTTAAATTTGTGAATTTTGTAAATTTTGTATAAGCCAAAGAGAGAATTGAAAACTACTCTTTATATTTAAATGCAACAAAAATTTATTTGTACTTAATAAAAATAAATAAACCATCACAAAATATTAGTTTATAAAATAAATGAAAATATCATTCATATATTTATTATTTATTTATACAAAATTGACTGAGAGTATTAAGATGCTATAAAATATTTAAGACTAAGCATACTTGCATTCATACATAGTCTTATACATATAGGCTTAAATAGTATAACCTCATAGTCACTGTTCTTCCATTCTCATTTTGTATTCCTACACTCTGATACACAGATGAGAATTTATGCTCTTGTGATCTTAAACTGGTCTACTCTTTCTCTCTTGTACTCTTCTGCCTTCTCTTTAGATCACTCATAATGCACACAATTACATTCTAATGCCATTTCACTCTTACGCTCCTATACTGTTAAATCATTGACTTATACTCACACTATTATATACTTACACTCATGAAGATTTGATCCGCGCACCAATTAACATTCAGTCTGTCAGTTAATCTGGACAAGGAAACTACATACAATAATCAGAAAATTTAATTTTCAGAACTTTCAAATTTCTTCATAATCTCAATGACTGGAACATTAATATATGTGCGAAGCTCCGTGTTCAACGCATAGTCGTCGTGGTCCCACAATGGGTCTTCCATAAAGTGCAACTCCTTGTTGGGCAGACGCTTGGCCAGAGCCAACACATCATCCACAGCAGCCATTATATCGTTCTCTGAATACCATAAGTGCACATTTGATGTAATTTTCTCGACTGGATAGTCGGGTGGTTCCGCTGAATTATATACTTTTCGATTATTTTTGGCGCCATGATCGTACTGACGAAAACGTCCTGACTCATGTGCTTGCATATAATGCAATATTTGATTGGTAGAACATCCCGCTGGCTGGTTACCAATACCTTCCGTCATGGCAGTCTGTTAATGGAAATCGTCTCAAATATTTGCATTAGACAAGCTGGGGCTTACTCACACTATTCCAACGAGTACTATTGTAAAACGCTTTAATAAGATACACACAAAATGACCGAAAAACTTGGTCAGGTCCACATAAATTAGAGAAAATTCTCAAAACATAGCCATTATATGGTAAAAACTCCATGTTAGCGAATAGCCTCGAATATAAATTCTGATGTCCTAAATAAGGCGATAGCTTACGAACTAATTTGTATTGCATTTTGGACATGATCGCAACGGGAGCAAACATGTGAGCTGTCTTGATCTTCTCATTGTATTCGGGACGCAACGACATCAATGTAAAAAAAATGGTTGTACCCTGAGAGTGGCCCACATAGTGAACGGCCTTGTGTCCTTGTCCATTTTTTTCTAACGAGTAGTCGATCATGGCTGCAATGTCATAGTATCCAATTTCGTGCCAACTGAAGTTCCAGAAATCAGGCGTGTCTGCGGATAATGAGCTATGCTTTCTCGAGTACGTATTGCCTCGACTATTGCCGAGCCACACATCGAAGCCGGAGTCAACCAACAGATAGGGCAAAGCATGGTTTGGACCAAGAAAAAGCCAAACATCGGAACCACCCATTAGACCATGCTCAATAAGCACTATCGGACGGGTATTATTCTGGTTTTGCAGCTTGTGAGAATGAGGTATTCGAAAGACACCCAAAATGTAGCCGTCCTCGGTGACAATCTGATGATGCTCTACCGGATAGCCGTGAAGAGATATGCGATCCCTCTAATTGATATGTTGTTGGTAAGAGCTTCAATATGATGGCTGAGAACAGACACTTACCGTCGTAAGTGGATTTTTAGCATCAACGGCAGTCTGGGCAGTGCTATACAACTTTTGAAAAATGAGATGAGATTCGGGAATATAAATAGAAGCAGACCTTAAACCAATCACTGATACAGCCAATATAATTACCACCGAAAAAAAGTAGTCATGCATTATGTAACGCGTTAACTACATCTATGGTTAGCCTCACATTTGACAAATTTTTTTTGGTTTGCTCTGTTAAATTTATCATGAAGAGATCTTCAACTAACCGAAATCTCTGTTTATGATTAATAAAGTGATCAAAATATTCACTTTAACCAACGGACATGCCACAGTAATAGGTAAACTAAATGAGAGGAAATTAGTAAATGTTCTGCACTTAAAAAAATATTAAATAATGTCATTATGGCTTTAGATATCTAATATATTTGTCTATTTTGATGAAAAAATTCAACATTTATTTACTTGATTTAAATTCAAATGCATTTCCCAATCGCAGTTAGCTCTTGCCCACATAACGATAGCCCATTAAGCATGGATTGCAATTTTGCACTTAATTTTGTACAAACGAGTTTCAATTTTGTTAAACTCACAGACAAAATGACAAGTTTTAAAACGCTCATTTTCTGAAAATTAAATCGATTCAAATATTTCAAAAATACTTTTGAAAAACCTTGAGCTTTATGCAAATTTAGTACAAAGTATTAGTATTCGTGATTGAAGTATGCTTGAAATTAGAAACAAACAACTTTAAAACCAAATACGACAATTAACATATTTGAATTACATATTTAGCGTGTTTACTAAAATACCGAATGTATAAATTAAACAAAACAGAGTAAATTAAACTACGACTAATCCTCGCCAGGTGGCAATGGTTGATTTAATTCACCTAACACGGGCGCGGGTACTGGCTGTGGTGCAGGTACAGGCTGTGGTGCAGCAACTGGCAACGAAGTCAAAACGGGCACGGTTGAAATCACGTTCAGATCTGTGGATTCCACTAGCTCCTTTTTGATATTGTCAGGGTTAATGTAGCCACCGCTTTCATCCTGCAAAACACAACTCAAACACAGTAAGTATCTAATTATTTATACTAATTATATTATTATATTATTATACTATATTATTTAACTAATTATACTAACCGTAACAAACACGTCCACCGCTTTTCCGGTAATAATATCCAATATCTGCTGAGTGATGCCGCTCATAGGCTCGTCTTGTATACTTTCCGCGTATTCAAGCAATTGGGGTCTGAGGTCGGGACACTGCTGTAATGCGTCTGCCAACTGTGGTGGCGGGAGCTGTAGTAGTACGGATAGAGATTGCGGCTTGAGGCGCTGCACAGTCTTAAGGAAGCCTTCCCAGATGACTTTTTGACGCCAGACTTGCTTCAGTATTAGACGTTGCAGCAGATTTAGCACGAAGTTAGAAAGACGTGGCCATAGCGTTAAGCTCTGTATAGTGGTGCGCATTATGAGCGTGGGCACAGGCATTATATCAACCAGTTGCTGCAACACAGCCATCAACACTTCTTGCGTATAAACTTCTCGCTCGGATAGACACAGCGAGGTGGCTTTCACTATTGACTTCAGATCCCACACACTAGTATCGATGGTGTGCAAAGCTACAAGCAAATCCGCGGGTGATAGCGCCATCTGTTGATGAGCAAACTCAGCTCCAATTCCAAGCAACCGATTAAAGACCTCTTTGACAACAGCCTGATTAAGCTTTATCAATTTAGGCAGCACGGCGATTAGTTCAGAGCGCGAAAGACCACTCAGAATGGGTATTAGCACTCGCACGTCTTTGACTTTGTTTTGGTAGAGATCGCGCACACGTTGAACCAGTTCGGGATGTGGGGTAGGCACGCGCTCTGTTAATATGTAAATAATGCGTATTACCAGCGTTTCCAAGCCCTTTGGACAGTCCTCCAACAGCTTGAGTAACTCTGGAGACTCTACGCCCAATTTCTTAATGGGGGCATCCAAGCTGCGTAATATGGTGCGTTTTAGCTCAGCCGATGTCTCGATAAACACCTGACAAATCTTCTCCAGATAAACTGAAAATGATTGAGTTACGTTTTGTTGAACATACTGTAGTCGGCAGCTTACCTTCCGGCTTGTAGGGTAACAGTGCGAGGGCCAGGAGTAGACACACCTTGGCGGTATCTTCTTTCCAAGCCGCCTCCGGCGTAGGCCTGCCGTAATCTGACGAAAATATGGTATTTGGTGGTGTTTCAGCAACTACAAATTCTAACCACTCCACAGCAAACTCATCAATACGTGCTGGAACAATCTTGTGCACGTGATAAATGGTTATTAATTGGGCCAAAGCACGTTCTCGTAGATCGGCACGTTCGTGAACTGCATAGTTAAGAAGTACTCGTACGAAACGGTTTTTGCGCGGAGGTCTTAGCACCGCTAGATCCTTGACTATCTCCAAACCGTGCGGCATAAATTCTTCGACCAGGCACAACTTTACGAGTTGCACAATCGCCTCCTCGGGGAGTATAGGAGCCTCTAGGAATAGGCGGCGCAGCAAAATGATTCTGTCCTTATACTCACAGCGCTCATTGATGCCAGAAATAAGTTTATTCAAGAGTTCGTTGTAGGCATGATCTGGACGATTCTCTGTTTTCACATAAGTATGACGAGTGAATCCTTGCAGCAAAGAGTATTCCTCAAAGAGCCAGGAGAAGGCAAGATCTATGCGCTGCTTGATATCACCTAGTATGAATTCCATGATACCATAGCGCACATTATCTGGAAACGTGGCCGCAATAACGGTCACTAATTTACGTCGCTTGGCAGCCACACCGCCCATAATGCACTGTCGCTCCGAGTTAAGAATTCGTATGATGGCATCCAGGAGAAACTTTTCTTTAGTGTTACGTGCCAGGGGCTTGGTAATCTCCTGCAGTTTGAGCGTTTTAGCACGCTCTTTCATGCGCTCAATGACCGTCTGTTCGCCTTTGGACCGTTCCATAGTCTCACGTAACTTCTTGGTTGCTTCTTCCTTTCGTTGCAGCTCCTGTTCTCTTAACTTGGTTTGTGCATCGTCCACATCCATAACCATAGCTTCTGGATCAGGCATGGCATTGCTAGACGGAGTCTTTGGCTTCATAGGCGGTTCTTTACTGAACGCTGCCAAACCGGGTCCCAGGCGCATCTCCGTCAGCTGCTGCCCAAATTGATGGGAAATACTGCTCACTTGTTGCGGAAGTGACAGCTGCTTGATCGGTGTGTACTCTGCCAGGAATTTGGGGGTTGCGGCGTCCGGCAGCGCGGGCAAGAATTCAACAACAAGATTCACCACAGTTTCAGTTGAACGTAAATGCTCTGCCAGAAACTTTTCATTGACACGCGTACTCTTTTGACGCTGTCTCTCCAGCTCTTCCTCATCAAGTTCCATTTCACGCAGCTGCTGCTGCTGCTGTCGATCCTGCTCCACCAGACGTGCTTTTTTTGCCAAGCTCTGTGCCGCATTTTCTAGTATTCGCTTCTGCCTGCGTGCCATCTCTTGCTTATCCATTTTAGGCAGCAATTTTTGTATTTCATTGGCACTAGCTCCCAAATCCATTAGTATATTACGTATTGTTCCAGCAAACTCGAATGAGCCACGCAGTTTGAGGAGCATTTGGAGCTGCATGCGCAAGCTCTTTCTTACCGAACTCACCTGTGAGTCAGTTAGTGTTGGCGGTAGATTGTTGTTGAGTTGTCGAAAAGCCTCAACAACAGTGCCCATAAAAACAGGTCGCATTTTCGCCACCATGCACAGACTGCTCGTACAGGCAATCAGATTAACCGAAGAGATGTGCGTGGTACCATGGAATTGCAACATAATGTCAAATATGTTAGTGCCTTCGTCCTGCAACTTTTGACGCCTGATAAGTTTGCACTGTTCCGGCACATCGGCTAGCGAAAAATCGCCCTCTCGTTTCATACTATCCTCATCCGCATAGCTTTGAAGTATTATGATGCCTTCCAGAAATTTAATGGCATTTGTGCGGATGCCATCGTTTTCATTGTCAATCATGTCCAGAATTTGTGCTTTTATTAAACTTAAGACGTTCCATGCTTGCTCGGCACTGTCACTGGCATCAGTCAAACTGCATAAATATTGCAGTCCGTTTTTATAGATGCTTCCACAAGCCTGTATAACACGTTTTATGACTTGAGCTGAACTGTCTCGCAACATCATAGATATCACATTAATAACATAAGGCAGCAGTTCCACTTTAACCTTACTGAATGTTAAATAGATTATAATTTGTATAATTACACACAATGATGATGTACCCACCATATCTGTTCAATAAAGGAGACCACTTGCTTGCGTACCTCTTGATTCTGATCGTGTGACAGTGAAAGCACCGGCTCCAAGAACTCCTCTGCCAACTCCACACATGAACTAAGCACTATTTCCTGCACTTTGACCAGCAGCTCGCATTTCAACGTAGCATTTGCTGTGCCGAATTCATTGCACCATTCCACAACCTAAAAAGAAAAACAAGCAAGGTTTCAAATAACAAAAGCATCAAATTCAACACGAAAGCATCTACCAACCTTTGCACGCGCAGTGGCTGTTTTTTCATCTGTGAAGAGATTCGCTGTTTCTGAGACGAACTGACTACGCCCAATTATACTGTCCATGTTTTCATAAATTATATTAAGTGAAATATATAATCTATTACAATTTTTAAAAGCCGCGAGTGCAAGCTGACAGAGTACCCAGTTTTCGATAGCTGTAGTGATGTGTTATCGCATAAGCGATTAATTCTCAAGCAATGGAATATCGTTATTTTCTATCCACCACGACATGATATTCAAAGCTAAATTTTCTTAGCCTCTCGGCATTTTTAGAAACCAAATATATACAAGCCAAACACATTACTTTTAAAACCAGTACTTATTTCTTAATTAATTTTCAAATTGTTATAAATTACATGTTGTACAATTACAGACTGACATATGTGACGTCATATAGACATTCTTAACACCCTATCTTCTATTTTATACACTCTTGATAAAAATTGCAAATGAAACATCGTAATAACGATACATCGCTTGTTAATTATCGATATCATCGATGCATCGATTTACTCACATTTTTTGGGTGTTTTAAAAGCGTGAAAAAAACGCCTAAACAAGCCAAAACGACCGCACATCAGGACCAATAAGCGCAGTTAGTTAATTCTATTAGCTGCTGCACTAAAAGAAATTAACAGTCGAAGGTACAAGCGGCAACAAAAGAAGGTTGAGCAATACGGTGTGTTATTGAACAACGGCTGAAGAGTCAAAGGTAGTGCAAGAGAAGGGTGGTAGCGGAGAGTACGTGCTTGTGTGTATGTGTGTGTGTGAGTGTGTGGGTAGAAGTTGCGGCTGTGGAGCAGCGGCGACGGCAGCGGCGAAGAGAACGGCAGGTTTAGTTGGGGAAGAGCAAATACAGAGCCACGATTCCAAGTAAATAGTGAAGAAACGTTGAAATAAACAATTGAGCTAAAACAACAACAACAACAACAACAGCAACAACAAGCATTAGTAGCAGCAGCAGCAACAGCGGCTCAACTGCTTTTGTAAGCAACAACCGACGACCGCGCCCTAATGTCAAATAGCCAAGCAAATGCCGGCAGCAGCGGTAGCGTCGTGGATGAAACGAATCCAAAAGCAATTAATCCCACACCGGGCACCACCACAATTGCCAGCTCGATCAATCTGACAACCGCATCAACAACGGCTCAAAGCTCCACAGGACAGCCGGCATCTTCTGCTGCAGGAGGTGGAACCGCGCCGCACATAGTGGGCGCCTCCAGCACAACAACAGCAACTGCATCAACAGCTGGGGATGGGGGTGTCAACAACTTGGCTGTAGACTCATCGCCTCGAGAGTCTGGCGATGATTCGGAGGATGAGAGTGAAATATTGGAGGAGTCACCATGTGGACGCTGGCTGAAGCGACGTGAAGAGGTCGATCAACGAGATGTGCCTGGCATCGACTGTGTGCATCTGGCCATGGACACCGAGGAGGGCGTTGAGGTCGTTTGGAATGAGGTGCAATATGCGCAGCTGCAAGAGCTCAAAACGCAAGAGGACAAGATGCGTCAAGTTTTTGACAATCTGCTGCAGCTGGACCATCAAAATATTGTTAAGTTCCATCGCTACTGGACGGACACGCTGCAAGCGGAACGACCGCGCGTCATCTTCATCACGGAGTACATGTCGTCCGGATCGTTAAAACAGTTCCTGAAGCGCACCAAGCGCAATGCCAAGCGATTGCCGCTTGAATCATGGCGCCGCTGGTGCACACAGATCCTGTCCGCGCTCAGTTATTTGCATTCCTGCTCGCCGCCCATCATTCATGGCAATCTAACCTGTGATAGCATTTTCATACAGCACAATGGTCTGGTCAAAATTGGCTCTGTGGTACCAGATGCGGTCCATTATAGCGTTCGCCGTCAGCATCTTGAACAGTTGCCGGAACGGGAGCGCGAGCGTGGCGCTCACTATTTCCATGCACCCGAATATGGTGCCGCCGAGCAACTAACCGCTGCCGTCGACATCTATGCTTTTGGTATGTGTGCCTTGGAAATGGCCGCGTTGGAGATACAGCCACAGTCTAGCAACAGCGAATCGACTGCCATCAACGAGGAGACCATACTGCGCACAATCAACAGCCTGGACAACGATCTGCAGCGTGATCTGATACAGAAGTGTCTCAATCCAAACCCCCAAGATCGACCAAGTGCCAGCGATTTGCTATTTCATCCACTGCTTTTTGAGGTGAGTGCACGAAAAATGTACATATAATAAAGCATTAGATATCAAATCATGTGATCGTAAACAGGAGTTTTCGTCTCAGACAGTTTTACTTGTATAAAAGATCAAACGATCTAAAGATCTTGAACGAAATAAATACAGAGTATCTCATAGTTCGGCTGTCTCGACTGAAGCACTACTCCTTTTTTTAATTTGTTTCGGACAAGTTTACGTCAGATAAAACTGAATAAATTCGGGCTCTCCCAACAGGTGCATGCATTAAAACTTTTGGCAGCCCACTGTCTGGTCTTCTCGCCCGCCAATCGAACCATGTTCTCGGAGACAGCCTTTGATGGACTAATGCAGCGCTATAATCACCCGGATGTGATAATGGCACAGCTAAAAAAGTCTAGCGGCAATGAGCTTCAATTTCGACTGTCGAATGTGCCCGGGGCAGACAAGCTGGAAAAGTTTGTGGAGGATGTTAAATATGGTGTCTATCCGCTAATCACGTACAGCGGCAAGAAGCCGCCACACTTTCGTTCACGTGCCGCGTCACCTGAACGTGCCGACTCTGTCAAATCAGAAACTCCGGAGCCTGTGGATACCGAATCACGCCGAATCGTGAACATGATGTGCAGCGTGAAGAAGCTGAAGGAGGATAGCAACGATATACTGATGACAATACTGTTGCGCATGGATGACAAAATGAATCGGCAGCTGACGTGTCAGGTGAACGAGGAGGATACGGCAGCGGATTTGACTAGCGAACTGGTGCGACTGGGCTTTGTCCATCTAGATGATCAGGACAAGATTCAGGCCCTACTCGAGGAGACGCTGCGTGCGGGCGTTCTCAGCGATGGTACTGGCGCAGAGAGTTCTGGCGCTGGTGTCACTACAACGGCAACGATGGCCGCACTGGAGCAGTTAGAGCGCAACTGGTCCATTTCAGATGCGGACAAAACGATGACGACAAGCATGTCGGTCAACACTTCACCCAACGCTGCTGTCATGTATGTGCCACAAGAGCATACCGACGCTGAGAGTACCCCGATCCATACCAGCAGCAACAGTCACGGCAATTAAAGATGTTGAAAGTATTTGGGCAAAGCCGGCGGGGTGCGCATTGTTTTTATTATTGGAATGAAATAATTACACACTACGATTTTATTGCTACTATTATTTTTGTTATTTTTATATATATGCATACACGTATATATTTATATATATGCATCTATATATATATATCATCGCATATGTGTGTTTATGTATTTGCATATATGTATTTGAAATAATATTTATGTATGTATATTTAAACGATGTTGTACAAGGCTTCCAGGCAAGAGATTTCCGACGTGTATCCTACACCACCCACACACATACACACAGAGACAGACACAAACACAAACACACACACGAACGAACGACACACATACACCCATATATACACATGCAGCTGCTGTAACTCGTAAGCCAGAGACGAGCTTATAAAATCAAAGCATTCGCTTAGCACGACTTTCGAAAATTCCGAATCGAATTCGGCATTCTCGAATATACCGCTAGAAAATCTAATCTAAACCGAAATAAAATAAAATAAATATAAAAAGTTAAAGACATTTCAAAGGCGGCTGCCACAAAAAAAACACATAAGTAAAAAATTCGACCTATTTCAAAAAATAGCATTTAGGCACTTAAAAACCATATGTATATGATTTTGATTGATACATATATACATTTCTGATAGCTAAAGAGCAAGATGAAAGAACAAAAATGTCCCCAAAGGCAGTAGATGTATTTCAACGTATTACAAATATTAGAATACAAAAAAGCCACAAACAAAGCAAAATACTGACGGATCGTAGCAAAAAGCATAAAGCAGCCACAACTACAACAAACATACACAACAGACATAGCGACACTATTATTAAATAAATAAATAATTAAATAAATAAATAAAGAAAGCAAAAACTGACAACAAAATAGATGAATGCTTTTATACGTTTATTCTTACTATTATATCAAACCAGATTGATAATATATGGGACTATATTATTAGGCACACGGTGTTTCAATGAGCTCCGACTCATTAAGCTCCTTTTGTGGAGTGCTCAACTTGATGCGCTTGCATTGGCGACCCTCTTCCGGTTCGTCATCTGTGAACGCTTCAGGTGCTTCAGCTTCACTTAACTCTGGCGCTGCTACTTTACGCACTTGCAACTGTTTGTCGTACAACTCTAACAAATTGTTGCCCTCATACAAGACAAAGGGCAGACTGGCTCGCTGATAGTAATCCGGCAGCAGTTCCAAATTGTTAATGACAGTGTCCAGCATATGTGATTTCTCGCACCAAATACCTGGGGCATCATTTCGAATCGGATTGATATGTACATGCAGATGGTAGAATGACGGTTGATAATGAAAGTACATTCGCAGCTGGTTGGGATTCAAGCCATAACGTTCAAGTATTGCCTGTTTGGCCGAACTTCGTACATTGTGAAGCAAAGGCAAGTGACTTGCATTGAGATCACGCAAAGATTTGATACCACGCTTGCGTACTATTCCCAGTAAATATAAGGTCTCCAAATTGCGTCCATCCCACTTGAGATCAGGAAGAAGGATAAAACCATTTTCTGGATGAGTATCTTCGAACACAATACGCTCAGTTTCCTGTTTGTGCTCTAGTATATTGTACACCCACTCCAAAGAGAACTGACTTGACTCAATGTACGGCAGCGTAATGGATTCATAGAGATCTGGTGTTTCATTGATTATATACTTCTGGCATATCGAATATTTCTCAATATGTTTTTCAGTGGCCGGATAAATCACTGTACTCTTGACGGCTATTAAGAAGGTTAAGTTTAGTGTTTGTTGGGCAAATCAACTGCATTGACTTACTACACAGCTCCTGGGTGGGCACACACTGAAAGCTACCGTAAATATTGTTTATAAAATCCGTGCGAACTTTAAGATCCGTGCTAAAGTAACTCGGCTTGGGCTTCGTTTCAGCATCGTCGTCTGCAACCACTTCAGTTGCCACGTCGCTCTCACGATAAGCTACAGAAATAAACGAACATTTAACATCTTATGAGACACGTACGAATTACTAACCATTTTTCTCGAAAACAACAATTGCAGAATCAGTTTTTGATATATCCGGAAAAGTGCCAAGTAATGTTATACTCTTGCATTTGCTATTGTTGTTGAGTATGCGTTTGAGATGGAACTTGGTTAAATCATAAGTTGGAGTGTTAATCTCACTGCTTACATTCAGTTTTGGACTCGATTCAACTTGCTCAGGCATTGTTTTATGTTTATTTTTCTTCCGGTTGTCTTGTTTCGGCGGCAATTTATTAATTAAGTGTTGGCAAACGACGGCTAGGCGATATGCTGAATACACCATTACCATATGAGTATGTAATATTTCCTGAGTAGCTGTTTAGTTTTCTTCCCATTAATAATGTAAGCTCAAGAGAGCTGATGAATTGCATTTTAACTCCATTTCCAATGATAGAAATGAGATTTATTGCCTACTTTTTTATAAGTTATAAAATAATTACTTATTTACAGTACCAAACTAACATAACTGCTCCACAGACTGGTACAACTCAACAACAAAATTATTTATAACAGTCATTGTATACAAAAATTCTGTTAAACTTATCGACTTGATCACATCACTGTCGATAGGATTCACAATCATCTCTGTGGCATATAGCAGCCGACGCGCTTGCACAAAAAAAAAAGAGGAAAAGTAATTTCCTTATTTTTTGCTGAAAGTATTGTTGCAGAAAGTGCAAGGGCATTTGCAATTGTTGTAAACACATTTTAAGTGATATTTCCACAAGTGTATCTTAAACGAGAACGTTTACTTAAGGCTCGAAAGCCTGCAAACTTTTGCCGACTCTGTGCACACGCTTTTACCGCCGCCGCTTTGTTGTTTTGGCGCCTGAATTTTGCGACGCGCACAAAAATTTGCGTGAAATTATAATTTAGCTGCGTGCGTCAAAATGGTGGATCGCAGCGACAATGGTAAATAAAATATGTGGAAAGTTTTATTTAAATATCAATTATATTAACATTTTGTTTATAAGCAGCGGAATCCTTTGACGATGCCGTCGAGGAGCGTGTGATCAACGAAGAATACAAGATATGGAAAAAGAACACTCCATTTCTATATGATTTGGTAATGACGCACGCTCTGGAATGGCCCTCGCTGACGGCTCAATGGCTGCCTGATGTGACCAAACAGGATGGCAAGGATTACTCCGTGCATCGTCTTATATTGGGTACACATACCTCGGATGAACAAAATCATTTGCTTATTGCCAGCGTCCAACTGCCCAGTGAGGATGCCCAATTCGATGGCTCCCACTATGACAATGAGAAGGGCGAGTTTGGCGGATTTGGTTCAGTTTGCGGGAAAATTGAAATTGAAATCAAAATCAATCACGAAGGCGAAGTGAACCGGGCACGGTATATGCCTCAAAATGCTTGCGTTATAGCAACGAAAACTCCATCGAGTGATGTTCTCGTATTTGACTACACAAAACATCCAAGCAAACCTGAACCATCCGGCGAATGCCAGCCTGACTTACGTTTGCGTGGACATCAAAAGGAAGGATACGGTCTATCCTGGAATCCCAATTTGAATGGTAAGCGGAAGATCTCGACTTATAAATAAATATACATGGGTAAATGAAGTCTAATACAAAGACATCTCTTATATGTGGATTATATATAACAGCATGTAATATGCTAATTAACATGTTTTCGCTTTTTTAGGCTACTTGCTCTCGGCCTCTGATGATCATACCATTTGCTTGTGGGACATTAATGCCACACCCAAGGAGCATCGCGTTATCGATGCGAAAAATATATTCACTGGTCATACGGCCGTCGTTGAGGATGTTGCTTGGCATTTGCTGCATGAATCGCTTTTTGGTTCGGTGGCGGATGATCAGAAGCTTATGATTTGGGATACGCGCAACAACAACACATCGAAACCATCGCATACCGTCGATGCGCATACGGCAGAGGTGAATTGCTTAAGCTTTAATCCATACTCAGAGTTCATATTGGCCACTGGCTCGGCGGATAAGACGGTCGCCTTGTGGGATTTGCGTAATCTGAAGCTGAAACTACATTCCTTTGAGTCGCACAAGGATGAGATCTTTCAGGTACAATGGTCGCCCCATAATGAGACCATTTTGGCCTCCTCAGGTACCGATCGACGCCTACATGTGTGGGATCTGTCGAAAATTGGTGAGGAGCAGAGCTCTGAGGATGCCGAAGATGGACCGCCTGAGCTGCTTTTCATACACGGCGGCCATACGGCTAAAATCAGTGACTTCTCCTGGAACCCAAATGAACCATGGATCATTTGCTCCGTTTCGGAGGACAATATCATGCAAGTGTGGCAAATGGCCGAGAATGTGTACAATGATGAGGAGCCAGAAATACCCGCCTCCGATCTGGAAACCAATACTGCTTAAAGCTCACATTTTATGTTTTTGGAATTTGCTTCCTCAACCTCCCATAAGAAATATATGTAAAATTGTTTTCTTGGCTCCAAGCACAAAGCCAGCTTACCTGGCAGCGTGTACTCATTTTAATTTATATATTACATACTTTTACAATTAATTAAGTTCACATTTTGTCTAAAAAAAAATCTTGCATTAAAACAATCTGAAGACCAACTAATCAATCGACTGTGTATTTGAACAGTCTGCCAAACGCTTCAATATCCACACGCAGAGCACGAGCATCTCCTTGATGTCGTCTCGACATAATCTTCCCACTTATAACCTGATCCTTTTGCACAGTTTGTGGCTGGTCCATGAAGAAGACTGTCTGCTTCCAGTGGGTGGGCGTCTCGGTTGGCGATGTGCTGAACATTATTTGTTTATCCAAGTCAAAGAACGTGTCAAAGTATCCCACAAACGCGGCTAATTTGCCCGTTTGCGTGCATTTCAAATGAAATTCATGTGTAAAATTTGAATAGTTCAAATCGACTGTCATCATATCAAAGTTGGCTATTTGTTCGCTTTCGGTTAGTATGTGTTCTGGATTGACCACTTCCATTAGCGGCTCCTCTATGCTACGCTTGCGCAAGTCACTCATATCTACTCCATAGACATCCGACCAAAATTCTACGTGATGCTTGTGCAGCGTCTCATTTATGCCCACCAAATGGAGTGAACAGCGATTGGGTAGAATTTTCCCATTGGGATTCAAGAGATTTTCGCGTGCATAGATGATTGTGTCCAGCATTGCTTCGTAGAGCAGAAAATATCCCATCCATTCAGATATGATGACATCGTATTTGGCCTCGGGCAATTCAGTATCCTCCAAACGACCCTTAACGAGCTTCACGTTTTTTACATTGTTTTTTCTGTTAATGAGAATAATTGCTTACCTTTATTAAACGGTTAAAATATGAATATATATAATTTAATTTATTCGGTCATTCTACTTATAATTCTAAGTAACAAATTAATTTCCAAAACGAATTTTCTTATATTAAATTCTAACTGGGCTTGCCGCATTTCGTTTAATCTAGTTGGATCAGGTCCATGTATTTCTAATTAGATTGAATACCGGTCCCGCAAATTCAAATTAGCAAGTTTTATTAATATTTTTATTTATGGTTTAAGTAAAAGAATTAAATTAAAATCATTTAAACTATATATGAAAATAATATATTTAAAATTCATTATTAAAAAATAGTCTCCTTAAAAATTTATTTAATACAAAACCTTCCCTTACCTGACTATATCCATAGCCGTATAGACTATCTCCGAATTGTCAATGCCAACAACGTTTTTAGCGCCAGCTTGAGATGCAAATATCGAAAGTATTCCAGTGCCACAGCCCACATCCAAAACTGACTTTCCATTCAAATATGTCTGATTTTCCATTAGGGCTGAGCGATAGCTGCTAGTACGCACCTTTATAAAAGACATTTTAATAATAATAATAATATAAGTATATATAAAGCTCTACCGTATCGCTAAGCATTTCATGATGTATGCCAAAGTGTGAGTAGCTATTGAAATATTCTTTATCGAGCGTTGGAGCATTCCGCACTATTCCATTCTTGGTAGCTGGGTGCTCTTTTGCATCACCGTGCACCTTCTGTAGAAGATCTTTGTAGTCGTTGCGCATGCGTTCCATATCCTGGCTGGCTTGCTGCAGCAATTTGCCTTGTTCGGCAATGCGTTGCATCAGATCCGCTACGCTGGCACCTGCGTTTGGAACATCTGTTTTAATAGCATCGTAGTCATAGCACAGCCATGGCTCGTACTGAATGGGTTTTAAATATTTTTCGTCATTCCATTCTGGTTGTTTGGTTAGTAGCAGTTGCTCTGCAGTTATTCGATTTCCACGTATGAAATTTATTAACTTAATAAATGCATACTGATCCATTTGGAATTTGTGCTTCAGCTGCGACAAGTTAACATTGTGGTCGACATTTAAATGCTCGATCGCCGGATCAATACTGGCAAAAACTTGAGTGCAAAACAAACAAGTTGTTGGCTCTCCTTCGTCTTCGTCAATTTCTTCATCATCCTCAATATCTTCGAATGCTTCCTCATCAGAGCTCGAATCATTTGCTATTATTAGAAATACTATTGTGAGCATTGGGTTCATAATATATTTATTTATTATTTTACCTTTACTTTCTGTGTTTTCCATATTAAATAAATAGAAACCAACGTATTAACAATACCAAAGAGTATGAAGGCGGCTTTAGAACCAGCACGTGCGGAAAAGAACAGTGTTACCACATCCCGGTGAATGTTATTAAACTATCGATAATTGCTGTTTTCTCGCATCCCTGCACTTGCATAACCCTGTTTTTGGTTGTAATAACAAGATGCTTCAGGTACGTTGTTGAATTCCGTTTTATTTATTACTTAAAACGTAAATTAATGGTTCAACTCTTTTTATTTAGCCATTTAGAAATTTGCGTTTGACACTGCCTGCGCGCTGTGCCTCAGCTCTAAGCAGCATAGCAGCAAATACGACCGCGAGCTCTGCTGATGCTTCTCCTGCTGTCAATTCCGGCCAAATTGATAAGCTTTATAGCAAATTGGAAATCGAGCTGAGAGGCATTGATCCGGCAGTTTTGAAAAGTTATACCTGGTTTGCTACAACCGCAGCCGAGCATTTGGGCATTGAGTTGGGCAAGTGGTAAGTTTAATAATATGTATGTACATTCAACAAAAAATATGTGTGCAACATCTCGGACTGGAATGTCCGTCCTATTTGTCCCATGTCCCCTGTTTCACGTAGAACAGAAGACGTACGATTACTTACGCTTGGTGCGATGGATCAATATGATTGCTTTTTTAACTAATTCCCATAGTAAAAATATAAATTTTTCTGTTATCTTTAAATATTATAAACTAAACGCAAATATGTTTCATCTTAATAATTTACTTTGAACATTCACAGTTGGAGCCCGCGCAAGGCACACCATGAACGAATGACACTATTGAAGTCGGTGCACATCTATAAGAAGCATCGCGTGCAATATGAGATACGAACTCATTTTCGATACATGAACTTTCATAAGCTAACAGGCTCAACGCTGGACACGTTTCTGGAGTACATTGAACGCAATTTGCCGGAGGGCGTAGCACTTCAAGCATCAAAGACGGAGCTACAGCAGGTGCCCGAGCATTTGCAACAGCCACCAGAACAAGTTTAGCATTAGCTTAAATATTTAATTAAATTAGTTGTAAATGTTGTGCATATAACTTACATACTTAACAGCTACGTATTTGATAACAGTCATTGAAGCGATTAATAACAGTAGCGTCGAGATTATTGTTCGATGGTCAAAAACAAATAAAGTGTCTTTTTAATCAAAAATAGTAGCCCATTGATAAGAATAAACCTGTTATTGGATTTGCTCAGTTCAGGCCCCACCAGCTTTTTGGCGATAAGCTTTGGGTTTAATATTAAAATTTCAGTCAAAACAAAGATGCAAATATGCTGTACACCGTGAAGAAGAACATAAATTATAGAATGAATACAAAGCATTTATTATTGAAATGCCAAGAACTCAATTGGTTTGTTTGTTAGCATAGAAAATAAAAGTATTAACATATTTTATGCAATTAATTCTTTTTTAGCGATAGTTTTAAAAAGTTTGAGTTTTCAAGAAAGTATATAAAAATACTCCCATTTGAAAATATTTTTTAGGTTTAACCATTTATATGAAAAGTTGTATTACATGCCGGAAAGTCTTCTCTTAAAGCCGATCAATACTAAATTCCGCGTATTTATCGATCTTGGCTGAACAAAGTGAACAGCGAACGCTATATACCACGCTAAGGATAGGGAATATCACTTATTACTATAATCGTATCTTGACATTCATAACGGATACTGAATATGGTCGCACTTGACAAAAACCAAATACTTTCAGCTAAACACTTCAGTTGCGTGCTTTCGCCCTGAGCAAACGGATCTTCAATATGCAATCGGGTTATATATTGCGAGTTCTTTTGGCGACTGCCTCTCTTTACAGTTGCCTCGGGCCTGTCGCGTGTCTATATGAGGCTACAATAATGGAATTTTTGGAAGAGTTGCGTATGCGTATGTGCCACCCGATACCCAATTTGGGCTTACCTGCATTGGATCCACTTGAGCTAGGTCCTGCCGAGACAGCTGTGAATAACCAATATCTTATCGAGTGAGTCCAATTACTTTCTCGATTATATATAATTAGGTATATATATGCATGTTTCCAGCTTTTCGGGCTCGATTAACGACTTTCAACTTAAAGGACTTTCCGATTTCGTTTTAAATACCCTGAAAATTAATGCTGTTCCTGGTATACGAAGCACATTTAATATCACTTTTCCATACACCTATTTCAAATCTCTTTACACTGCTAAAGGTTCCTTGGCATATATTCTAAATTTAGCTGGCGACGGCAATGCAGAGTGAGTAATATAGAGACAAGTGTTAAAAATGTAAATAAAAATAATTTTTGAAAACCTATAAATCTCTTCCCGCAATTTTTCCTCCTGTTTAGAGCATCAGCGACGAACTTTTCTTTTATAATGTCATGGAAATTAAAACTTGCGACCACTTTGGCCATCACAGACTTACAAATTGAAATACTTTTGGGAGATTTAAAAATGTATTTCCAAAATTTAATGGAGGAAGAGCGAATTGATAATTTTATACATAATCTTATTAATGAAATGGGGGTCGAGCTATTGGGTGATGTTTGGAAATATGAGCAAACTAAAGTAGTTGCAATTCTCGAAACGGTTAGTAGCTCAAAATATTCGAGTAATATATAATAAATGAAATATAATAATTTACACTCCTTACAGGTGATCAATAGAAAACTTCCGGCACTCCTACAAAGTATTATTGGAGGCGGCGGAGGTGGGGAAAAGCCACCGATTTTTGAAGGCGTGGAACCAGATTGTAAACTCGTTAACTTGTAAATAAGGCTGTTTAATATTCATAATGAATTTAGTAATAAAAATACATTTCAAAGATGTTCCACTTTGGTTATTGGTTATAAATCGGTTGACGTATGTGTATTTGCACAACGTAATGATAAGCTGTGCGATAAAATATGTATTTAAAGCGTATGTAGTTGGTATGCACTAATCTGTTGATAAAGTGCACAAACACCTATAAAAAAACCACTTACTATTCTAATCCTGTTAGTATCAACAAAGCATTGCTGATAAGCTGCATGCTATTAGCTACTTGATAGCTTTGATGTGGGGTCTTGATATCGCCATTTATTGATTTATAACCATAAGGTATCATAAATTTCTTTTTGAATTTTGGCGCGCTTGTTATCAGCTTGGCAGCGCCAATTTAGAAAGCAGGGCTGCAGCATTCTTTATTTTCGATAAATACTGAGCGGTACTAGAGCAGCACTGTTTTCTAGCAGCCTTGCCACATCGTGAGAGTAAGTATATTAGAATTTTCCAGAGCAGGGCAACGGGCTTATAAGTAAAGGCACAACCGTACGCCATCATTATTCCTAATACAAGTGCCAGGTTGATCGAACGTTTGAGTGTCGATTCGGCAGAAAGAAATTTAAGTGGGACAGAGAAGTGAAGTAGCAATTACACGGTTATTCATATATTTAGTACATTTTAACTAAACAAATTAAAAAAGGTAAGTTTTATATTTAGAAAATAAAATTTTTCTCTTGCCTAAGTGTTTTAAAATGCACGCTAAATTCGGCACGTGTTCATTGCCGCGTGCGTTTGACCTGAAAAAATTTTCCATTGACTTCCATGTGCTATACGACTAGAATCAATAATTTGGCGTTAAATGCATTGTTGCAAGAGGTATTGGGGTCATTTTAACTGCAGCTTCGTCATTGAATTGTATAAATAATTATGGCTGCAGTTGCTTGAACTTTGAAATGTGAGCAAAAATACTTGAATATAATATGTAATATAGTCACGCATATCGAATTTACTTACATATATGCATATGTATATATATATATATATATATATATTGCGTCATCCGACTTTTCTGTTGCATTTGTGACTTCCAATAAATAATGAAAGTCTTATGTACATAGTACATATACATCTAAATTAAATGGTTTCTCCTAAGTTGCTGATTTATTTAAAATGAGTTGCTGGAATATTCCATTGGGAAAAATGCCGCATCAGACGCACACACACATATATGTGCCATTCGCCTACCTACTCATTATGAGTCATAAAAGTGCTGGTATGCTGACGTCTAAATTTATATTTATGATTTAAAATTTTAACTTTGTGAAAAGAAATTATTAGCCAAAATGATTGGACTTTAGGTCATTTATATTTTCTTTATTTCATAATGCGTGTTGCTAACCGGCATTTCAGAGAATACATGCGTTGTTGGAATAAAACATGTTTAAACGTACATATGAAAATTTAGCGCGCTCGTGCTGGTATACTATTGTCGTCTCGTTCATGCGCACAATACAAGGTACAAACTTATCGGTTTGGCAACGGCGTGGTTTTATATATATGCATACATATACTTGTGTGTATATGTGTGTGCGTGTTTGTGGATTATAGTATTCTAGAATTTTCGCCTTTGTCCATGCGGTACTTCCATCCCTTGATGAAATTCAGCAGCTGCAGCTGAACTTCTGTTACCTATGTTTATCTTGTTTGGAGATGAACACAGTAATTTGTTCATACATACACATAGATGTATATACGTGTTTCTTGGCCATATAAATTAGTCATTTGCTCACGTTTCACCGTTTTTGGATTTCGCTATGACATTAGCAACAACCTGTTTCCGTTGTATGAAGTTTAGTGAAAAAGGCCTGAAAATGATCAAAACATTAATTTTTATTGAATTACGCTTTCACGGCCAGGGTTGCAGCCTTTGTTTTCAAATAAATTGCTTGTTTATAAAAATTAAATGTGCATGGATATATTACTTTCCAACAAATTATATAATATATTTATTAATTATGCAGTCAAAAGTCCAAAGTCTATCGATTGAGGAATCGATTGTTTTTTATTTTATTTTAAATACAATCATGTCTCGGTGGAAATGCCGTTAAAGAATGTAAATGTTGTAAGGTTGTTGACACACAAACAATTTTAAATTAGGAAAAAAACGAATCAAAAAAATAACGTATACAAACATTTCTAAAATTTACCCATTTTCTTCATTCATTACAGATGTCTAAAGCTCCAGCTGTTGGTATTGATTTGGGCACAACCTACTCTTGCGTAGGTGTGTTCCAGCATGGCAAGGTTGAGATCATTGCCAACGATCAGGGTAATCGTACCACCCCATCTTATGTTGCCTTCACGGAGACGGAGCGTTTGATTGGTGACGCCGCCAAGAATCAGGTGGCCATGAACCCAACCCAAACTATCTTCGATGCTAAGCGTCTGATTGGTCGCAAATTTGATGATTCGGCTGTGCAGTCTGATATGAAGCACTGGCCTTTCGAGGTTGTAAGCGTTGATGGCAAGCCCAAGATTGAGGTTACGTACAAGGATGAGAAGAAGACCTTCTTCCCCGAGGAGATCTCCTCCATGGTATTGACCAAAATGAAGGAAACCGCCGAGGCGTACCTTGGAAAGACGGTTACCAATGCTGTCATCACTGTGCCCGCCTATTTCAACGACTCACAGCGTCAGGCGACTAAGGATGCTGGCACCATCGCCGGTTTGAATGTATTACGTATTATCAATGAGCCAACTGCCGCAGCCATTGCTTATGGTCTGGACAAGAAGGCTGTTGGTGAGCGCAATGTGTTGATTTTCGATTTGGGCGGTGGTACTTTTGATGTCTCCATTCTGTCGATTGATGACGGCATCTTCGAGGTCAAATCTACGGCCGGTGATACCCATTTGGGTGGTGAGGACTTCGACAATCGTCTAGTCACTCACTTTGTGCAGGAGTTCAAGCGCAAGCACAAGAAGGATCTGACTACCAACAAGCGTGCTCTGCGTCGTCTGCGCACTGCTTGCGAGCGAGCAAAGCGTACCCTTTCTTCCTCCACGCAGGCTAGCATTGAGATTGATTCGCTATTCGAGGGTACCGATTTCTACACCTCGATCACTCGTGCCCGTTTCGAGGAGCTTAACGCTGATCTTTTCCGTAGCACCATGGATCCTGTAGAGAAGGCACTGCGTGATGCCAAGTTGGACAAGTCAGCTATTCACGATATTGTGTTGGTTGGTGGATCCACCCGTATCCCCAAGGTGCAGCGCCTGCTGCAGGATCTTTTCAACGGCAAGGAGTTGAACAAGTCCATCAACCCTGATGAGGCTGTTGCATACGGTGCTGCCGTTCAGGCTGCCATTTTGCACGGTGACAAGTCGCAGGAAGTGCAGGATTTGTTGTTGCTCGATGTTACCCCCCTGTCGCTGGGTATTGAGACCGCCGGCGGTGTGATGAGCGTGCTGATCAAGCGTAACACCACCATCCCCACTAAGCAGACCCAGACCTTCACTACCTATTCGGACAATCAGCCCGGCGTGTTGATCCAGGTCTACGAAGGCGAGCGTGCTATGACCAAGGACAACAATCTGTTGGGCAAATTCGAGTTGTCGGGCATCCCTCCCGCACCCCGCGGTGTGCCCCAGATTGAGGTGACCTTTGACATTGATGCCAACGGTATTCTGAACGTCACCGCTCTGGAGCGTTCGACTAACAAGGAGAACAAGATTACAATCACCAACGACAAGGGTCGTCTGTCCAAGGAGGATATTGAGCGCATGGTCAACGAGGCCGAGAAGTACCGCAACGAGGACGAGAAGCAGAAGGAGACTATCTCTGCCAAGAACGGTCTGGAGTCGTACTGCTTCAACATGAAGGCTACCCTGGATGAGGAAAATCTGAAGAGCAAGATTTCCGACTCGGATCGCACCACTATTATGGATAAGTGCAACGAGACCATCAAGTGGCTGGATGCCAATCAGCTGGCCGATAAGGAGGAATACGAGCACCGCCAGAAGGAATTGGAGGGTGTTTGCAATCCAATCATTACCAAGCTCTACCAGAGCGCTGGTGGTGCTCCCGGAGGCATGCCCGGCGGTATGCCTGGTGGCATGCCCGGAGCGGGTGCTGCTCCTGGAGCTGCTGGTGCAGGCGGTGCTGGCCCCACCATTGAGGAGGTCGATTAAACAACTCACCAACCACAAACCATACCATAAATCAATTTTACATTTTACACAACTTGGATTCTAAATTAGAAAACTCCCAACAATAAGATCAAGAACAAACGACAATTGCTCTTGGAAACTATATTATAATAATACAACTGCAACATTTAAAATATATATATAAAACAAGGAAAACCCCAAACACTATTCTATACATAAGATAATACATATATATTATATTATTATCATACATCGATCGATCATCCAAAAAATATATTTGCTTGTACTTGAATAAAATAAATCAAATTGAGGTTTGCATAAAAACATGGCATTAGCTTAGCGTTGGGACGGTCATGAGTAAAGTATTGAAAACTTATATCTACTGATCTTCGGGTATTAAAAGGCAGTTAAAATTTGAGCATGTATAAAGTGTTAAACTTCTGTTTAACACCAAGTTGCATGGCGAAGCTCTTGGGATTTCTTGGACTTTTAGTGTAGCATAAACTTGGGCTGATGTATCACTTGAATTGTTTAAGGAATCAAGAATTTCATAGCAACAAATTATTGTTTGCTTTGAAATATCAGCTGCTCACCTTCAAAGAAAACGACAATTTGAGAACCAGTATAAAAACTAACTCCCGAAAAGAACTCATGAGCTGTAACTTCCAGTTCAGTGTCGTTCTTTAAGCTATAATTTCGATCATTCGTTTTATGAGCTGCTAGTGGCCAATGGCGGTGCACCACGGCTGTTCTAATGCAGTGCGGTGTTCTAATAATATAATATGAATAAAAATTGTATAATATATCCCTAGATGTAATGAATGGTTTTACTTAATTAATTGTATGTTAGTGTGTATCTATTTATGCATGTGTTCATTTAGATACGACTTGTCCACTATTTAATTAATTACACTAATTTAATAATTACATATAAAAATATATGTGGCTGGTTTTAAGAAAATCAAAATCTTTATTCTTTCCCTCTGTATCTGTCTCTCTCGCTGTCTCTCTTTATATCTCTTTGTGTCTCTATTTCTCTCTCTCCCTATCTATCTATCTATCTTTCTTCACCCTTTCTTTCTCGTAAGCATTCAATTTTTTATTTATTTAACTTGTAAAGAACTACACCAAATTTAACAAATTTATATAGCTAACATAACAAATGTAGAGTTACTGTAATACTTTGTATTTTAACGATTCAGCTGTCTTCAAATGGGGATTATGGTAAAAGCTTTTGAGTGCTTAATCGACCCAGGCAAAGTTGCCATCCTTGTCCAGCTTGGCTACTCGGTTAATTGTTGGCAGCTCACTATCGTTGGGCTTGTAGGTCCCCTTGTCCTGGCTCCAGTTATCCTCTTTAATGTGCACCGATCTCACTCTGCGCCCAAAGACGCTGCCCGACTGCCGATGCTCAGTTAAGCTAGGTTTCAAGCTGAGAGTTATGTCCGCTTCCAGCTGATGCTCCTCGAGCGTTTTCTGGGGCGTACCCAGTTTGTGTGCCTTACCACTCACTTGGTCCAGATAGGATTGCCACTGTTGCAGCTTATCCTCGGCAGCACGCAGTTGCTCGATGCTGCGCTCGTGGCCAGGATTGATTCCAATTGGTTGGATGCCCACAATCTCGTTCAGGTCTATCTTAATGGGTGCCAATGCGGAAATAGCGCGAGATAGTCCGATTTGTGTGTGTCGTATGCGATGCTCGGTGAGATCGGCGCCCAGCAGCTCCTCGTGCGGGTCCATTCGTATGGGTATTACTTTGTTAATCACGTAGAGCAGCAAAAATGTCGAGCAAATCCCCCAGCAGGCCAAGCAAAGAGCGGACAGCGTTTGAATGCCCAGCAGGTACCAGCCTCCCCCTTTGAACAGGCCACTGCGTCCCTTAGTTGTGTCCATGGGCAAAGGGTTGTCAGCAAACAAGCCAACGGCAATGACCCCCCAAATGCCGCAGACGCCATGCACCGAACTGGCCCCCACCGGATCATCCACGCCCATTCGATCGAACAGTGGCATGCTAACCACACACAGCAACGAGCCCAATGCTCCAATGAGCAGCGCCTCCCAAGCGCGATACAGAAAGCAACCGGCTGTAATAGAGACCAGAGAACCTAGAATGCCATTGATCAGGTCCATAATGTCCATGCGGCCATCGTGACGCCAAAACGAATAGCTGCGTTTTGAAATGATTAGTGGGTTGGCGATAATTCATTGCAGTTGATCTTCACTTACAGCGAACTGGCGAATCCACCGCCAAAAGAGCCCATCATGGTCATCACGGCGGCTCGCGCTGCATACTGCCATTTGGCACCGCTAACGCCATAAGTGCTGCCTGAGTTGAAGGCCAGCCAGCCCCACCACAGAACGAAGAGACCCATGCACGCATTCACCGGATTGCCCAGTGGCAATGGATCAATACCCTCTGCATAGCGACCCAGGCGTGGACCTAACATGGCAGCCGATGCAAACGATGCAGCGCCTCCAATCAAATGCACTGGACCGCTGCCCGCAATGTCCACGGCTCCTAGATTATTGAGGAATCCATGCTCACCCCACACCCAGCCAGCGGGTATGCAATAGACCACAGTGTTTAGGAATGAGAACACGCAGTAGGCCTTAAAATTGCAGCTGTAAAGTGCAATCAATATCATATCGTATCATTTGTCGTTTCATAGAATATCATATCTTATCATATCATATCATATCATATCATATCATATCATATCATATCATATGATTTCACAGAATGTCATAACAAATCAAAATATAAAATAAAATACAATAATCAGTTTTATATAAAAACTTATTGCTAATCAAAAATATATGAATAATATAAATAAAATAATTTTGATAAAATGTAGTTAATATCAATATAGAAGGTATTAGATGATCTGATTGGAAATCTTGTTAAGAATTTTTATATTCTGGCATATTTATATATTTTAATAATAAAAATAATAATAATAAATATTAATGACAAGACAAAATAAAAGAAAAAAATAATGAAATGATTCATCAGCAAATTTGTTTGCTTACCGCTCGGCCATGGCGCCGCTGACAATGGTCGTTGCTGTAGTTGCAAAGGATAATTGAAAGAGGAATGCGGCAAAGATTTGACCCATCAGTTCGTCGCCAACGGGTGGGTCGAGCAGAAAGTCACCAATGGCCATAAAGGGATTCGAGAAGGGTCCACGTCCAAAGCTCATGCCGTAACCAAAGAGCCAATAGGTGAAGCCACCCAGGACAATGTCAATCACGTTCTTCATCATGATGTTCACCTCATTCTTGATGGAAACGCAGCCCGATTCGAGCATCCCGAAACCCGTTTGCATTGTAAAGATGATGAAGGATGAGGTCAACACCCAATTGGTATCCTCGATCGACAGATCATATAGCCCCGGTATCACATAGCTGCTATTGCGAACCACGCCCTTCAGTGCTATCATCTGCGACGCCGTGGCATTCTCCAACTTCATTTTGTTCTCCCTTCTCCTTATATATTTTAGTTCCACTTGGTCACGTCCGGTGTTCAGGTGAGTTGCTCTAGAAGTGAATTCTGTAAATTTGTTTTCGTTTTCCATGCGAAAACTGACAAATTACATTCATTTGATTTGAATGCAAGCTAATCGCAGCGCCCAACCAAAAAGCTAAATTATTTAGTTTCATTTTACGTGCGTGTTGTTTACGAGTGTACGGGCTAATTATACCCTGTACTAAAAGAATAAGGTATTGGCTATTTGCGTATTTTCAACTTATTTTTATAAATGTTTTCATTTGAAAAAATGCAAAATAAAAAATATTATTTCAATTTTATTTTATAAAGACAAAAAACATGCGAATTTTATTTATTTTTATTAAATTATGCAGTGTATAGATATTATCTGCTAACGATGTAGGTAAGTTAAATATCTACTAGAACCCTTTTTCACCACAGCTTAGCTCTGAACTTGACATTGCGTTTAAGTTAATTTTGTTGCTGTTGCTGTTGCTGCTGCTGTTAATGTTGCTGTTGTTGCTGTTGTTGCTGTTGTTGTTGTTGTTGGCATCGCATGACTTCGAACACTTTGCAAAACTAATGAGCGCATTTTGCACAAAATTTAATTACAAGATTTTTCATTTTAAATTTATTTTCAGTTGATAGTCTTGAAAGGCAACTCCAATTTCAAGTTATTTCAAAGTCATATCATTCGCAAAGGCGTTACATATTTGCCAACATGTTGCAGACTTAACAATGTTGCTGAACATATCGAGCAGAGAGTTAAATTGAAGATGCTGTGTGGTTAACTTTCGTAGTGAGCAGTACAATATTATTGTTTATGTTTTTTCACATTTACCAAATGATTGTGAATTTCTTTTGTGAATGTATACAATTTTCATTCATAATCATAAATTATAGCATACTTTGAGCTGCATTCAGATACCTTAACTTGACTTGCCGCCATTTTATTTGCTTTGCCCCAAAAGTGTAACGTTATTTTTTTATAATTCGTATTTTTAGTATTTAAATACGTTTTCAAGCTCAATTTAGGTATTTCAGCGTTAACGCAAGCGGTCACACAGATCAATTTTAGCACTAGTTGGTGTTGCTCGAACGTTCGTTAAAACCGTTGAAAATATCAAATAAAAACTGTGTATCTTATATTAATTTAAAGTTAATTGTGCAGTTGAGAGTGCATATTAACGCCAGCAAAATGTATTTTTTGGCAGTGCTTGCGTTTATTGGAAATGCCAAAGGTAAAAGAATTTAGTGAAAATTGAAAAACTTTATACACACACAACCATACAGCCATATCCTTGGTGTACTAAAGAGAGTAAAACAGTGAAAATTTATATTTTTCTTCATGACTTTGAGCTTTATGATTGAAATTAAATGTATTCATTTATACATTGATTGAGGACTTTAAATGAAAATATATTATTTTTTCATTCTAAAATCAATTTCGATTGCTGTTCTCTATCTACAATAACTGTAATATGGTCCATGGCCACAGCAGAGTTTCACAATTTATGGGACACGGGGACACATACACATGCAAACGGACACACACACACTTGCGCTGCGCTCATTTTCTCAGCCAGCAAGCAGGCAGCAACTCCTGCGAAAAGGGGGCATAACGCCCTACCACTGAGCTCGGTGAAGGAAATGCCGTGCAAAATTTTGCGTTAGTGCTGCCCATTCCGCTTTTACTTTCTTCCTCTCTCTCTCTCTCTCTCTTTCGCTCTCGCTCTCGCTCTCGCTTGCTCTCCGTTCTGTCTGTATATATGCTTGTGGGTGGTTGTTTGGTGTGGTGTTCATTTTTGCATGTATGTATACTTTGCCATGTGTTTGGGTGTGTGCGAGTGGGTTTGAATTGGGTGTGTGAATGTATATGTGTATTGCAAAAATTTCACTTGGAAACTCGCACTGAGGCACCAATTTTTTCTTGCGCGGGGGCGTAAAGCACGCTGTTTGCCATTTTCGTTCGTGTGTTTCCTGCCCAGCCGTTCGCACTCGTGCTTTGTCGTTCGTGTCGCCTGTGTCGACTGTGTCAGTGCATGTTTTTGCGGCCCCTTTTCCACTTTCCTGCTGCCAGAGGACGTTTGCTGGATATATTTGTTTTTAATTTGAATTTCCTTTTGCTGTTTAGCATTTAAATTATGCTGAAAATGTAATACGTTTGCATTTAATTTCATTCAAGTGATAAATGTTATGGCCATGTATATATGCATACATACACACATGCATCTGGCGTGAACATATGCATCTGTAGAGATATCTATGTATCTGTGGGTCGATTCGAAACGGGCTGAGGGGTCCAGCACCTGCTGCATTTTCAATATGCCAGTGTAGATGTTTTTGTGTGTGTGTGTGAGGGGGGGGGGGGGTGCTGTTGGGTGAAAAACGGTAACTGCTAAATCAGCAGCAAAGCGAAACTTGGTCAAGTGTGTCAAAATAAAGAATCGTACAGTTGTTCGAAAATATATACATACATATATACTTATGTATGTACATAAATACTTATACATGCATATGTTTCACATTATAATTTCATTTCAACTTTCATCTAGTATTTAACTTAAAGCAAGTTTTCCATATTTTTCTATTATTCGTTCCTTATTTTTGCAAGATTAATAGTGATATCCTTAACTTTAATTTAATGAAATTAATAATATCAATATTATTTATAGAAATCAGGATATTACGAGTTAATGTTTATATCATACAATTGGTAAAAATGATGTATTGAAGCTTTAATCAAAATTTTGAACTAGTATTTAATAACATAAAAATGTTTATATAACAGTAGATATATTATATTATATTTAATTTTTTTAATTCTGACCCATTAGATAGCAACGCTGTGAGCTCCAGCCTCATCCAGGGCGGCCATTGCCGCGATTACAATGGCAAACTGTATGAGACTGGCATGCATTATATGCCCGGGCCGGACTCCTGTCGACTGTGCATCTGCGACAGCGGATTGCCCAAGGCGTGTAAAATGGTACTATGCGAGGCGTTTAGCAAGTGCAAATCCTTTCAAACTGTTGGCAGTGGCAACAACTGCTGCGAGGTCATTTGCCTGGACGACCAGTTCAGCGATGGCAGCACCGATTTTGGCATTTGACTGGTGGCCAGTGGCATTACGGCCACGCTTTCCTTATCATTGCTCTTCTTCCTGGTCAATCGTTTGCGACAGCGCAAAATGCGAGCACGCGAGAACCGCCAGAATGCGGAGGATCAACGTAGTATTGTTGGGAGCATTGGGTGAGTTTTCAAGGCGTTTGATTTCCTTACTCAGCATACTAATGTATTTTAATATACTTTGCAGATATATTGCGGGCAACATGGGTTACATGGAGGGCAATCTGAGTGCTATGGACTATTCGTATGGCGCCGCTACCACGCATTATCCATTATGGAAGCCACCAAGCGGATATTTTCCGCGTGGCGAGGCACCACCGCCATATGAGGAGGCAGTCGCTATATCCCAGGCGGAAGCATTGAGCGCTCAGTGCACCGTAACATTGCCCAGCCATGTTCAGCGCCAGGCCGTGACCAGTGTCAGCCAGCAACAGCAGCAGCAATTGCAACAACAGCAGCAATTGCAGCAGCAGCACCTACAACAACATACACTACAGCTGCATACCCAACCACAACAGCATACTCATCCCCATGCTTATGCCCAACAGTTGGTGCCTGTTAATGCAGCGCATCCGCATGCACATCAATTGAGCGCGGCTGCTGCTGCCGCTGCTGCTGCTGCCGCACAATCCAATCAGTACACACAGAGCACTACAAATCTGATTAATATAAACATCAATAGCGGCGGAGTTACCACAATTGCCACAGGGGAGAATCACCAGCCACCTTACAGCTTGCAAAGCGAACAGCAGCAGCAGCAACTCCAGCAACAGCAACACCAACAGCTCCAGCAACAGCAACAGCAACAACACCAACAGCAACAGCAACAGCTGCAGCAACAGCAGCAGCACAGTCTGGAACAGCAACACCAGCAGCAGCTGCAACAGCTGCCAGCACCGACGCCCAATAATTCAATTTGTATGCAAACTCTACCAACTCCCAAGGCCAGTGTCAACAGCGAGTGCAGCTATAAGAATTGCCATCTCAATATAAGCGCCAGTGTAACGACTGCAGCGGCTACCGCTGCTGGCAGCGCCTCCAGCTCGCTGGCCTATGCAGCAGCGCGTCGTACACCACGTGGTTCCCAAGAGCTGCTGCACCAACAACAGCAACAGCAGCAGCAGCAATATCTAACTGTAGCCGATGTGGAGATTAATGCGAGCGCCAGTGCAGCTAGTTATCACTCACTGCCCGCCACAAGCGACATGTTCACCACGCCCACACACCACTTGGCACAGCAACAGCAACAGCAACATCATCAGCATCAGCAGCAGCAACAGCAATTGCTCGCAGCAGCATTGTCCACAACTGCCATAGATATGTTGCCAGCCATGGACATAGCGACGATAACAACGCCACCCACATGCAGCAGCGGTACATCTGATTCGGTTACCCAGACGCTGCCTCTCCCGTTGCCGCTGCATGCTGCACTGAAATCCCAACAGCAACAGCAACAGCAGCAGCACGGCAGTAAGACGCCATCCAGCTCGCGTCGCTATCATCGCACCATACCACGCTATTTTGCTGTTGCCGATCCACTGCAGGTGGTTAGCGTTAAGCCAAAGCCCAGCACTAGCAGCAGTTCCAGTTCCAGCACGGATAAAACGAACAAGAAACCCATGTGCCAGTGCCCCATACAGCATGTGCCTATGTCCTACATGGGCAGCAATGCTAATGCCAATGCAAATGCATTCCTCAGCGGCGCCGGTAAACTATTTGCATCCACTGGCAGCAACGGCTGTGCCCTTTCACCGAGTTCCAGCACACGACATGCCGCCACGTTAGCGTATGGCCAGCGCGCCAAATCAACAACTAATCTGCAGCTGCAGCAGCAGCACGGACAAGATTTGCTTAGCAGCCGTAATACGTGCACCTATGAGACAAAAATTGCCACCATTTCGAAGCAGGTGGGCGACGAGCTGCAGCTGCAGCCACATCCATCGCACGGTTCGAGCAGTGTGTCAGCCATAATACCGCCGCCGCCTCTGCAGCACCACGAGGACGTCAGCGCGCCTCCCATTGTACTTGGACGCGTACAAAAGCGGTCCAGTAGCTCGAGCAGTGCTGCTGAACGAGCTCGTAGCAGCAGCGGTGGACGCAGTGCGTCCAGCAGTGGTTCAGCAGCCACTACCCAATCCGGCGTCGATATGCTCTCCAGCGCATATTTGAATCGAAAGGTGAGTTCGAAATGTAAGTAATCCCATTGTGAATGCTGAACTTTGGATATTCGATAGATTCTATACTAGGATGTACACATATGTATAAGAAGTCAGACCAAAAGTATCTATATTCGAAATTCAGTTCTTTGCAAAATCCTTTAATACATATGTACACATCAAATCTAAAAACGGGCAAATGAAACCAAAATAATCGAAAGTATATTAATGCAACATTCTTATGTGATCCTTAATCCGTTATTTAGCTGTTTCTAAAGATCTTTTGCCTTTCTAAATTATTCTTTGAGTAATTAACTTTTGTTGAATTATTTTCTTAGTTGCTTTCGCTAAAAAAATCAATGAGTTTCTTATTAAAATATAGAACCAAATTATATAAATAACATAAGTATGATAGACAGAATACGTAATACCCATAGACTTGATCGAATGCATGCAATATATGAAGTCGAATATAAATTTTTAATAAATCATATTTCGATTTATGGTTCAAACGATCCCTTTGCCATACGATTTTAGTGAGGTATATATTTTCCAAATTTTCATGGATGATAGGGTAAGGTATATATAATTTTGACCAGGACTAGAGACAGATTCGATCTAGACATTCCCTCTCTCCGTCCATGTAAACGGACACTTAGTATTATATCCAACTAGACCATTCGTAACAGGAAAAAATAAAGCTTGAATAGCCTTAAAGCCAAATCAGGTATCTTCGAGTTGGGCACTCCCGACAAGAGCACTCTAACTTGCATCGTTTTCTATTTTGCGTCTGTTTAACTGAAAATATTGTGTTTTCATATCCAAACCGAAAAGTTTGAATGCGGATAAATGCTTTTGAAACATAAACCTAATAATAGTAATTTCCCGGGAAATTGTGCTTCAATTATTATTTGATTGGCTCCTATGTGGTTTCATTCTCCGTAATTATCATACTTAAATGTCTTTGACTTTTTGCTAATCTCGTTAGCGATCTTTTCAGGTTGATGCATACTTGAGTTTGACGCAGAAACAGCAGCAACATTTCTATAATCAGCAAGAACAGCAGCAGCAACAACAGCACAACAACGATCAAAGCAATCCAACTTTACCACCGAAACTCAACAAAAGCCTAACGAATTTAAAAACAGTAACAACCACTGCCACCAATAGCTGCAGTGCCAACAGCAACAACAGCAGCAACAGCAGTAGCAGCAGCAGCAGCAACAGTAGCAGTGGAGGTAACAACAACAATGCTGTGGCCACTATTTATACCCTCAGCAAATCTACGAATAACAGCGGACATCAACGGAAGGAGCAAGCGCCAACATTGACCCTGCCACCAAATAGCCCCTCGTCCAGCAGCGGGGAAAAGTCGAGCGGCAAAATCAATTCGAGCACATTTTATCCACTGGCCAATAACCATGTCACCTACACGCTGCCGAAGCACATTAGCGGCAAGATCTCGCTAAACAGCACCATTAACAGCGTGGTCAGCAAGGTGCCCTCGGTGATCAGCATACCCCCAATCGAGAATAACAATGAGAAGGCAACAGCCATTAGCAAGAGTACCACACTGCCTAAAATACTGCGCGTGAAGCGTGACAGCGAGCGAAGCACAGCATCAACCACTCCAACAACAGCAACAGCTACCAATAGCAAGGCCATTGCCCATTGCCAGATGCCCAGCTATCCGCAGCTGGTGGCTAAGGTGCAGAGCGGTCGCAGTGGGACGTCTAGCAAACAGCTGCCTGTATGCACAACATCGAAGAACTGTTTGAATCCTAACGAGCATTTCCTGCCCAACGATACCAGCCTTGACGATGACTATCTAAGCGAATGCGAGAACTGCAAAATCGCACAGAGTGCCAAATACTATCTAGACGCCGATCTGAGCGGTGGTGGTGGAGCAGGCGCCTTAACACCACAAGAAACAATGACGCTGCAGCGCAAATCACTGGAGGAGACTAAAGAGGAGCCACACGACAGTTACTATCGTAGCTCGCATACGCTGCCCAGCAATGCAAAAAAGCATGGGTATATATATACTACAATATAGATATCACATAAAAATCGAATAATCTACATATATGTATATATATTTTATATAGTGTCAGCAAAAATAACAATCGCGAAGCGTGGCAATTCTCAACAATCCCTGCGGCCAGTTCATCGGATGAGGATGTCAACGAATGAGATTTGAGCCATTTTCTTTAAGATGCCACACCCAAATCCAAATGCCAAAATGTGCATCCTAAAGAAAAGGCAGGCTTCTACTTCTGTATCCAACTCACAACCCAAATGGCATATACTATATATAACTAGACAAAAACCTGATTAAAAATTTGAAATGTATTTGTAAAAAATGATGTGCTAAATTTAGGTGTATACTTCTAATATATGTACTTGCAAATTGCTCAAAGAACATAACAATATAGATATATATTTGTGTTGCTATGATAACCAACATTGGCATGTAAAATTTGCTTATATCGGCACACATATGTGTATATTTGTAACTATGTAAGTAATTCAAATTGTATCATAAAAGAGTTGCAAAAATTATTCAAATCGTTAGAGAAGCTCAAAATTGTTAAATATTGTAACGTGTTAAGCAAAATAAAAACAGAAAACAATTATAATAACAGAAATTAAGTAGAAAGACTATGCAAAAAATTTAAATTTTTCGATCTATATTAAAGTCGAATTATATATATAAAGTATGTATTGTTTGTTTGTTTGTTTTATATGTGTATATATACGTAGAGCAAATAGTTGAAATCAAAATAAAACAAACTCCAATTTGCCAATGATAACTGTCAATAAATTGTATTCTGTATTTACAATATATATATACATATATATAAACATATTCTGTATATTTAAGCTGACCAAATTTGAGAGTTGTCCTCCCAGCTCAAACCAAGGTTCACACACAGAAATATGAATAAGCATTCATTGATACTGAATACACTCACACTCACCCATTTCTAAAAATGTATATGTAAACTATGTAAGAGATCTGAAGCTGAATACCTAATTGGATAATTGGAGATTAAATTGTATGTGTTGTATATTAAGTATACGCATGGATATCCAACAGCACTTTGAGGTGTTCAATGTATGTAAGTAAAACGTAAAGCATAAATATATATATATATATATATATATATATATATATATATATATATATATATATATATATATATATATATATATATATATATATATATATATATATATATATATATATATATTTATTAGATTAATTTCTTGTTAAGGATATAATGAATTGTAATTGTTATATGTATGTTTTAAATAGTATTCCTCTAATTGTGTTATGCAATTATATTGAATATTTATTTGGAACATCTATTGATAATACGACACAGACTTATGACAAATATTCAAAACGAACAAACAAAAAGCTGTTGTACACGAAATGGACGCATTGTTTTAGTGAGTCCCATATTTTTATCTTGTAAGCAACGCGTACTTATTCAAATACAATGAAGAAGTATGGTATTTATAATTTCATGCCATAAGAAACGTACCAAGCAACAGTTTAGGCTCTGAGCTGTTGCTTGGCTAGCTTATTAGATAAACAAATTTTTTTTAAATATAATAAAAATAATTAGCTGAGTTTTGGAATTAGTCAATACTTCAGGTAGTTAAGACCATAATAGAAATGCTAGCATCAAACAACTAATATTTTCTTAAGAAAATGTTCTTAAAGTATTGTCTATTTCTTTAAAGCACATTTTGAGGCAGTTTGGTTAGTTATTTCGGTTTTAGATGACTTTAGATCTCACAAATTATAGTGGAAATTCATTCATTAGTTACCATCTTTCATCAAAAACTATTGATTTACGTAATTATCTCGAAACATCGCTCAAATTCTTAGATATGAATTCTCGACATTAGTTATTTAAAAATGAAATAAAAACGAAGCTAATGAAACAAATGAAAGTCTCTGTTATCAAGTGCGAAAAGCGTATTTGAAAAAGTATTATAATAATTAAAAATTACTCAATCTCAATAGTCTTAAATTAAACAATGTTTCCAGCAATTAAATAACAAACAAAACGTATGTATGTGAATCGCGACTAAGTACGAATTTTTATTAATTAAGCTAATTAATATCGAAATAATTTCAGTAAACCAACACGAAAAATAATAAAGAAATTAAAAACAACTACAAATAAACATACCATACATAGTAGTTTACAATTACATTAGTGTGCGCTAGGAAAACGAATCAAGTGCGATACATAAATTTAAAAAAATACACAAAAAATGTTTCAAAATATGTAATTTACCAAATACTAAAAAAATCATGTTTCAAAAACGATAATGTGAAAATTGTAATATGCTTAAAACAAATAAATGGATCTATAATAAAAATTTGGTTGATTTTTGCTAACGTTAGAAAAAAAATTTGGGGTTCCTGGCCTAACTCCATTCCCAGATATGTAAAACAGCCATATATTGTAGTTTTAATTGTAAAAATGCATACTATCTTTTACTTGGTTTTTTCGTTTTTGTATTTAAATCATAAAAACAATTTTACGATGTATCAGATTTGTTTTGTTTTTATATAATATGTATATGGTATAACCTATTAGTTTCTTGTAATGCTTAGATTTGCTATATATGCATAACATTTCGCAGCAAAAATCGTTTATATACATACAAAATTCAATAATTTAAGGTATGTATGCATCAATTTTCAGTAGTTCATTTTTATTTCGTATTTTGTTTTTGTTTGTTTTTGCTATCAACGGACGTGAAGGAGGGGGACGACGACGCGGGATTTATGGATGAAGAGACGGTGCAAGAAAATTACCGAATTGGCCAAACGATAGAATCATTTGTGATCTCTCACACACACACGCACTTGAAACGCTTAAATTGAATATGAATTCGGAGCGGGTCTGGTTGCTAGTCATGTCTGTCCATTTACTTCTTCGTTGGCTGACTATCCAATACGGGCGTAATTGTTTTACCACCGAAGATCTGGCCCCAGCCAATCAAACTGCAATCAATATAAAATTTTAATTTACATAGATATTGGGTCAATTTCAGTTATTTTCCTTTGCACTTACCGCCAATGATTTTCCACGCGTCTACTGAGTGCAATCTTCTCGCCCTTCTCCGTGCAAACGGGCGTTGTGAGCACTATCTTGGCCAAATCACCCTTGGTAGCGGAGATGCGGCCGCCGGTGCTGAGTGATCCAATGTTGACCAGCAAGATTTCATTACGCTGCAGCTTTTCGACACGCGCGCCCTTCTTGTCACCATCGGTGCGCACGCCAAGCAATCGACGCAGAAGATAATATGAAATTTCCAGCTCTATGTAAATGTCCGGCAAGTTTCCAACGGCGCCGAGCACCTGACCGACCAGTCGATCGGCACGGCAGAGCGTGGGATCAATTTTAGTGCCCACACCGATCAGCCCGCCGGGCACTGCGTACTGCAGCTCATTTTGTTCGGCAAACAGTGAAACGATGCGCGAGAAGATTGGACGGCATGTGATATTACCATCGCTGTCCTTGGTAACAACGCCGGGACGCACCTCAATTTCTTGGCCAACCTTGAGCACACCGCTCAATATGGAGCCACCGGCAACGCCGCCCTTAAGATCCTGCACCTCACAGCCAGGTTTGTTAACATCGAAGGATCGTATAACGATTAAACGGGGCGGCGCCTTGAAGTCACGCTGCGGCACGGGAATCTTGTTAACAATATACTCGCAGAGTACATCAATGTTGTACTTCAGCTGGGCCGAAATTGGAATTATCGGTGCGCCCTCGGCCACGGTGCCCTGCACAAACTTTGTGATCTCCTCATATTGCTCCTTGGCTTGACTTTCCTTAACCAAGTCAATTTTATTTTGCAATATCAAAATCTGTTTCAATTTCATAATTTCAATGGCTGCCAAATGCTCAGAGGTTTGCGGCTGTGGACACGATTCATTACCTTCAAAGAAAAAGAAAGTATTAGCAAATTAAGCAATCGTGTGTCAGTTTAGATTATAATGCCTTACCAGCGATTAGCAGCAATGCAGCATCCATTACAGCGGCACCGTTCAACATCGTAGCCATAAGAATGTCGTGACCAGGGCAATCAACAAAGCTCACATGGCGCACCAATCTAAAGCGGCCGGAGCAGGCGAGACGCGCGCATGGCATGCTGTCATCCTTACTAGATCCATCCGATACGAAACTGGCCGGACGCGGGCACTTGGGATTATCGCACTTGTAGATTTTTGCATTGGCATATCCTGTGAACAAATAATACAAAGTAAAAATAATTAATGAGCAAGCCACAATCTTCACATAATATATTATCTTAAAACATTATATAAAGTGTGTTCTCTGCCTCGACGTTCAGAATTGTTAATTGTTCCTTGCTTTTAATACTTCTAATATGAAAAAAAAGGCTTATGTATTTTTGCTTTATTTTATTTTATATTTATCATGCATTTATTGAGAAGTATACAACTTTTAAAATAAGTATTTTCAATTATAAAATGCCTAATATATAAGCTATGTGTACGAAAAGAAACTAATTTTAAGCTTCTGCACACTAATGTCTTATATATTAAAATATTATTTAAAGTAATCATTTTTTTTTAAATTTATTTGTTATGTGCGCAAAAGGTTCATAAATGCGAATACAAGATTAACAATAAAAATTTGTAAACAAACAATTCTAGTATTTTGTCAAATGGTGACGGCCACAAGCATTGGAATAACTTTGTATGCATATATTTTTTATATGTAAATAGTAATGTATATGTTTTGTAATTAAGGCTTAACAGCAAATTGTTTAAAATTTGAGAGTGTGGCATCTAGAAGAGTACTTTGCGGCAGTTCGGAGCCCCACAGCGACATTCGACCCGCGCAGCCGTCGACAGATTCTCATAGGGCACATCCTCATTGTCGGCGCGTATATAATCGAAGCTCAGCTCTTCGCCGGCCTTGATATGGCGCAGCGTGAAGAATACTAAATGGGGCAACGCCATGTTCAGGTGCTCAATCCAGCAGGGGAATACGGCTAAATTGGGATCGCACGAGTGATTAATGAAGTGCGAGACGTTGCCATAGTTGGCCGCGTCGATGGTAAACTCGCTCTCTGCGGCAGTATTGTAATCCAAATCAAACAGATATGTTCGTCCCTTATCGTCATAGATTTTGCCACGCTCATTGGCTTCATCGCTGGAAATAATCTCACCCACATATTCGCAAACAAATTCGCCTTTGCGCAGCGAGTTCGGTGTGCGAACGCCCCAGCCGCGTCCATTACTGGTCTTAAAGAGCTCCAGCGGATGCTTACGTCCAAATTGAACAAGCCGATTCGTGCAACTTGCTTCGCAGCTACAGCGACTATTGCATTCAAATATGGCGCTGCCCTGTTGTAGGCGCAAACGCCGTGTCGTACGATCATAGGCATACAGCTCGCCGGCGAGGCGGGCACAACAGCGGCTAGAGGCGCAACATTCGCCCTTGCCATCCCCCGCGTCTTCGTTGCAATTACAGCCAAGGACTGCCTCTTCGGGGCGTGGCACTGCATCACTTAATATGTTCTTCTGTATATATACGAAATTAGCATCAATACTATCCAAGTCGACATCGTTCTGTACCCTAATGGGCGGTGCTGGCTGCTCGACACTGTTCATCCGTTTCTCAAACTGTGCCAACTCTTGAAGCTGCTTACGGCGCTCATAATGACATCGTTGCAGCTGTAAACGTCGCAAAGCACGAGCTTTAATGCGCTCCCGATCACGCTGGCTTCGACTGCCCGCTGCACGATACTGTGCCAGCAATATCAAATCCAAATTCAAAGGCAACGACTCGTAATTATCCAAGTCGTTTTTTATGTTAATACTGCTCAAATCGAATGGTGATGCCGTTAGCATTTCGGCCTCCAGTTCGCTTATGATTTGTGTTATGAAGGGTTCATAAAGTTGTATTTGACGATCCACGAAACACTCCAGCTGTACGCATTCGGCTAAATTCTTAAAAGTCTCCCAAGTATTTTCGCTGCTATCGTAGCCCAGCCATTTCACATAGAAAATGGGCTCGAAGCGCAGCACCTCAACATTTTCAATGGACTCCACCATGTACTCGCCCTTTGGTTTCCTTATGGACAATCTTTCATTAGCCTTGGCTCGCTTCAATGCCGGCGTGGATGAGTGCTCCTCAGAACTACGGCATCGCTTTAGTATATTTACTGCTGAATTCTTGGTCTGATTTATGGCCACGGGCAACGCATCGTGTTCGTCAAAGCCCAGTACGCTGCCATACCCGCTACTGTGACTGATTGAGCTTTGGCTGGTGCTTCGTCTGGTTATAGTGCAATGAGCAAATAAATGTTCTGGCTGATTGCTTTTGGAATGTTGTCGGCGTCGCTTGGCAAGAAGCTTTAGCAATTTGCGGCTTTTTAGATCGTATGCATCGCGCTGCTGTTTGGATTTCAAAAGTTTTTGGATTTTCATTTCGCTTAAGCGTTCTGCAAATGACAATTTGTTTTTTTTTTTAATTTTTTGGTTTAACGCGCGTCGTTGGGCAAACGAAAAGCGAAGAAAAAGAAGAAAAAGATGGACTGAATTAATTACAATTGCTGGATTAATCGAAAACAATGAAATAAAATTTTGCAAAGCTCTAATACACTAACAAACTATAGATAAATTTAAAATGTATATCAAGTACAAAGAAAGAAATCAAAAACAATCAACTTCTTTTTATTTATTAGGCAATAGAGGCTGTTAATCCAAAGCTAATCCAAACTACAAAGGCGACGACACAGTGCGTGTGCTGTTGGGACTAATCCAGCAATTTAAGTAATTTATCAAATATTAAATATCACATTTATCAATCATTTACAGAACGCTCAGAACATCGATCCAAAAGGTCACGACACTTAAAACTAGAAATTTTACGCGATACATGTCAATAAAATAATGTGAATAGAAGCCAAAAAATTAGAACTTATAATACATAAGTTAAGTTTGATTTTTATTTACAAGTTTCTACTTCAAAGTTTCACATTTTGTAAGCCGAACATTTTATTCTATACATTAATAAAAATTAGCAATATTTACCTATTCTTATACATTTCACATTAATTAATTTGTAATTTATAAGCCATATATATATATATATATATATATATATATATATATATATATATATATATATATATATGTTTATATATATATGTATATATATATACAACATATATATTATATATTTTTTCACATTATCTACAATTATATTTGTTTCGAAAAATTAATTAAATTCACGGATTCACAATTCTCAATTTTCTTTACGGAAATGAAAACTGGAATAGATTTTAATAATTTGCGCGTTGTGCCGTCGTCAACATTTAGTTGGGTTTATGTTTAGTAATTTAGTAAATAGATCAAGGAAACATTTTGTCTTATGAAACATAAAACGGAATAATCTTTGTTGTCTAAAGCGATAAGCCTAATGTTAAACTTAATAATAAATAACAGTTAATCTAGACTGAAATGACACTTTCAAATAATTTTGATAATTGAAATTTGTTGCATACAAATTAACTAGTTTTTTTTTACATATTTTGATATTTCCAAGATTGTACTTTCTTAAATCATAATATTAATAGCGAGTGTCATTCCAGCATAATTACTCTAATGAAAGATGCAAAATGATGTATCACTTACCGAGCTTTATTGTAATATTTCGTTCCAATTCATTTTTAAAGCGCACCGTCTGCACACCAGAGATGGCTTTGACAACCGTGGATTTTCCGTGCGCTACATGGCCGATTGTGCCAATGTTGATGGTAGCCTGGCGAGAGATCACCTCCGGCGACAGTGGTGTTAAATTGCTTATTTCCTACAAATATAAAACACAAATTAAATGTATTTTTGTTATTACAATAAATTATTCAACTTTCACAACACGCCCTAAGCCGCCTTACAAACATACACATACACATACACACAAGTGTACACACAAATATATACATTTGCATTTATGTGGCATGAGTGTGCGTACAAAAAGCCGTACATTTTGAGGTTAGAATCAACTGTATATTGCATCAGATATTGTAGCAACAGTTGAGCCGTATATCTGAGATGCATTTCGTTAAGCTTATAACATTTGCCAAACGTATTGCAAACATATGCCATACAACTCACACGACGAAAACCCCCACCAATGCTGGCTAAACGTAGCAGGCAACGCCACGTGCTGCATTCTTTTGAGGTCGATTGCACAGCGACAAAGCGTAACAAAAACGGTTTATGTAAAAATATTATTATCCATGGCCTTGTTTGATCAAACACATTTTTAATTAGTCTTAACAACAGTGAATACACTTTCATATACAAATGGCCGCGCTCCCCTTTTGTTTTTAGATGCTGCGTCTAAACGAACGGACGCGTACATTCGAGTCATCGAACCGGAGGTTGATATTTTCGGCATATATTCGTGTAAACTCACCAAATTGCTAAGGTCCTGCTTTTGCAAATTTGTGTTCACGTTGACTTGAGCTTCAGCCGTGGCCATGTTTTTAATATTTTTAAAAACGCTTTCTATATAAAATTAAAAAATGAATGGGCCAGCTCGTTTACACCTCGACATTAAATATTGTCCGCGCGTGTTGTAAAGGACCGAAAATGCCTTGTAATCTTTTAAGTGTTGTTAATCGTCAGATACTATACTGGTTATTTTGGAACCGGAACTAGATCCAATATTGTTTTAAAGCCATATAAATTTCTTTAAAACAAATATTAATGACATTGAATTCATAGCATTAAATCTATGAAACAAAACATTTTCATGTAATTAGTTTCAAAGTTTGCAACATATGCTTCTATTTGTCGATATTTGATAGCCAAATAGCAACTCTGTTAGACCGCATATTTACGATTAAAAAATTCGGCCACACTTAGAGCAGAATTCGCAAACCGAGAGGACGGCGCGCATTAAGTGTAGTAAATCGGCTTCTGCTCAACTGTACTAGATAAACTAATTGTTTTTTACAACAATATCGTCAATCTAAGTTTTTAAACCCGCTTTGCCGCTCCATTTAAAACTAAGCCAGCATTATGTCGAGCGTGCCAAAGCGACAGAAGTTGGATGCTGTCGCCGATGGAAATACATCTACCGGTGCGAACGAGGAGGAGTCGGAGGCGCTGGAACAAATCGATGCTTGTCAGAACGAAATTGACGCACTGAACGAAAAAGCCAGTGAAGAAATACTGAAAGTAGAGCAAAAATATAACAAACTGCGGAAGCCTTGCTACGAAAAGCGCAGCGAGCTTGTCAAGCGGATCCCCAACTTTTGGGTGACTTCTGTAAGTTTGCATGTATACGTAGTAATCTAACGAATCTTTATATGCGGCCATGATTTGCATGTTTAGCATGAGCAAATGTTAATTTTGCTATAAAGACCATTTTCCTGTAGCACTAAGGCGTGCATAGCATTGTAAAGAGAAAAAGGCAACATTAATTGATTTTGTGTCTCTACTACATGTACAAGAAAAATTTCTCTATTCGAGGAACTTTTTTCGTTTGTTCTTTTTCATCTTGGTCTTCTATGCATGCCGCCGCCACCGGTCGCACCGCTCTTTTTTTGTCTGTGTATGCGTGTGCATGTGAGTGCCAATGTATCGATAAATGTCTGCGTTGAAGCCGCTTATTTCTTACCCTGTACAATATATTAATCGTTTTTGCAATTATTCGTCTACAGTTTGTTATCTAGTTCCCTAAACAAGTTATTTTAAGTGCATATATATATATATATATATATATATATATATATATATATATATATATATTATATCATGGCTAGCAAAACACTAATTTGAGTTTCATTTGGTTTAGTTTATCAACCACCCGCAAGTATCTGGCATTCTGGATGAGGAAGAGGAAGAATGCCTTCATGCCCTAAACAAACTGGAGGTTGAGGAATTCGAAGACATAAAATCAGGATACCGCATAAATTTCCACTTCGATGAAAATCCGTACTTCGAAAACAAGATTCTCACCAAAGAGTTTCACTTGAATTCCGCGGGTGTGTGTTATCAAAAAAAATGTTTTCATTTATATATAAATGTAATCCTTTTTAATTATTTAAGCTGCCTCCGAAAATGGTGATTGGCCCGCATCTACTAGCACGCCCATTCAATGGAAGGAAGGAAAGAATTTACTCAAACAGTTGCTAACGAAACCTTATGGAAATAAGAAGAAACGGAATTCCGATTACAAGACATTCTTTGATTGGTTTTCGGACAATGCTGACCCCGTCAACGACGAGATTGCTGAGCTGATAAAGGATGATCTTTGGCCAAATCCACTGCAGTATTATCTCGTACCTGATATTGAGGTGGAACCCGAGGATGAAGATGACAATGAAGACAACGAAGAAGAAGCATTCGACGAAGAAGATGGAGAGGATGAAGGTGACGAAGACCTCGAAGATGAAGGTGAGTTAGCGTTGATGGACATATTAAAGAGTTCTCTATCTCAACTTTTATTATTTCAGATGACAAGTAAATCCTTCAATCAATAATATTTACGCAATTTGAGTTTTTCAATTGATTTCCCAATGTGCTAACCACTTATAACTATTATTTTATGTATGGTTATGTCGGAACGGGAGTATAAAGGCGTACACATTATTTCTGATGTTACGTGAGCATTGCAAATACCATTTTAGGCAGTTATACAGTTACTTTTTAAGTAAAATGAATACGTATTTCCGAAAAACCCATCTACAAACAGCAGTTTTTTAAAATACAAATAAAGACGTGAATCTAAGAACGATTGCATTTTTATTGTTAGTGATTCAGCGATGATTAAGTTATCGTTATCGGAATACTTGGTATCAACATAGTAAGAAGTGGGACGCAGTGGCAACTCTAACATTGCCCAGTTGAATCAACCCTGAACGCTGCAGCTGCGAGTTTTAGGTGAAAAAGTCTGCAAGGAATAAGCAATGGCCTCTATTAACAAATTAGCACTTTTGGTAGGTTTTTGTGAAACATATAAAACGTACTTGATTGCGTGTGCCGCAACGGTAAAACTTTTAGTGATTTTATTGAATGTCAGTAATGACACCAAACAATTATCTAACTCGCATTTCTTGGTTATGTAATTTGCGATTTTAACCAATAACCAAAGTGTAATTGCGATTTCGAGATCTGATATATACTAATGTGATTTCAATTGCTTGCAGAGCCGCACACTCAGCTCCGCTGCTGCCCAACAAGTGGTAAGGCCACCAATCCAATTGTTCGGATTGGAAGGTCGTTATGCCACCGCTCTATATTCAGCGGCCACCAAATTGAGCCAATTGGATCAGGTGGAAAAGGATTTGACCGCACTGCAGTCGACCATTAAAGCCGACAAGAAGTTACGCGAGCAAGTAACCAGCCCCATCATTAATAAGAAGGTAATGGCCACTGCCCTCAAAGAGGCTGCCGCCAAACTGAATTTTGCACCAGCCACAGCCAATTTGTTGGGTCTCTTGGCTGATAATGGACGCTTGAAGAAGCTGGACACAGTTATCAGTGCCTTCAAGACTATCATGGCAGCTCACCGTGGTGAGGTCGTCTGCGAAGTTGTCTCCGCTAAGCCTCTAGATGCCGGACAAAACAAGCAATTGGAGGGAGCCCTCAAGGTAAAAACATCATGATTCAATACGCAGAAAACTAAATTGTTTGCTTTGTTTACAGTCCTTCCTGAAGCCCAACCAATCGCTGAAGATCACCTCTCGCGTGGATCCCAGCATTATTGGTGGATTAATTGTGTCCATTGGCGATAAATATGTGGACATGAGCATTGCCACCAAAGTGAAACTCTACACAGAAGTCATTCAGTCCGCCGCTTAAGCTTAAGGATTCACTGTTTGGTGTTTAATAGCGAATAAACCTCTTGAGGATAATTTGAAACATTTCCAGCTATTTTTAGACATGTATATTTATTGATTAGTTCAATGAGATCGAAAACTATGATTTATACTGTAGAGTATACACGAAAGATCCGTTACTTTGGCTGCATGTTATTAGTTGGACACCTGCATCCTTGCCTGTTGGATGCTATTGTGTGTTCAGATTCGGCCTTTGAACTTAGCTGTTTCTGACTTGGATGCTGATTTTGATTATCGTTGAATGTGTCAATATGACCTAAGCGGCCAAAATCAGCATATAACTCATTCATTTTGTGCTGTAACGTCATATACCACTCGTTCTGGCGACAGAGCATAGTCTCTAGCTCAGAGATACGCTGTTGTTGCTTTTGGATTATTCCTCCCATCTGCAGGCGCATTTGGCATTTACACTCGACACTGCTACACTGATCAACGTTTTGTATATGTGGCTTTGGGGAACATGCCTCGCATTTGCATGGATGAGTGACGGGCTGACTGCGGCCCAGCAATAAAACATCCGTGCAGTTGCACAGGCTACCAATATCTCCGCATTCTTGACTGGTTTTCACTTTCGTGTCTTCAATGTTAAGCATGGGGAGACCACAATCCTTATACTCGGATTCCCTCACAAAGATTTCTTCGTCCAAACTGTCTTCCTTCTGGTCATTATCTCCCGATTTGGATGTGTCGAAACAAGGGGACAACGTAGCACCTGACAGAAGAAGTACCTGGAGAGAAGGTCGATTTAAAGGTGGTGTCTTCCAATTTTTCTGATTGCATTGGTCCTTAATGAGTGACGCCTCCTTCTGAGTGCGTTCCACAAACTGTGGTATATGCTCGATACAGACACAGCAGTATTTAGCAATACTCTCTACAGAGGAAGCGAAGGTTCCCAAACTTTTCTGCCAAATCTGTGCCTCTTTCTGATTTTTGGGATAATGACACGCGGAATCGATGGCATCACTGGCAAATTCCTTGCCACAGACCACACAGCGACGGCTCATTGGGACGGTCAAATTTTAACTCCAAATTCGTTTAAAATATTAAATAATTTACCTAAATAATTTTTGTAGTAGTTTTTTTCCGGATTTTTCATACCTACGTCAGATTTTCATATTGTTTCAATTGTTTTGTATATGTCTATATATATGGGATACTCGATTATTGGCAATGGGGTATCAAGTATCCATTATTTGTTGCTCCACCTTAATAGTTTGCGCTGTATTTGGCCATTGACTGAAGAACTCGTACTTTTGGTGACACCTTCTCGAAGGGCGGCCAAGTGAATTCTGCGTTGCCCGCATTTACTCGCTCCTTTTCGATGTTAGTCTTGGCCTGCAATTCGTTCAATTTGGCCTGAATTGACTTTTGGAGCTGCTGTTGCTGGCTCAACAGCGATTCGAGCTCATCCAACGGTGTTACCCCTATTTTATTATTTGATACTGAAGGCCGTTTCTCTGGCTGCTGAGGATGATTTGGTGAAGGAGATTTTTTGGTTGAACCTGAACTTGAAGCTGCCTTAACACACGGACATTTCTTCTCGGGAACTGTGCCCACCAATAGAACGTCTGTTGTATCTGTCTCTCCACTTTTATCTTTTTCTGCAGGTTGGCGACAAACTGAATAATTTGGCTCATCGATGTCTGGAAAGAATGCTCTCTCGCGTGTCATGTCCGACTCGAGCACACAAATTTGCGAAATATCGGAGGACCGTTTGCGTAGATCCTTATTATTGTAATACGAGGGCACCATAGAGCCACCCATTATTAAAACATTAACCGGTGGCCGTCGTCCAGTTTCCATCAAAGAACACGGCTTGCACATTGAACTGCCCATATTTATATTGCCCGCATTAATTTGACTCGCATTTTCACAGCATTGATTCCTGGAACCACGATTGCATACAAAACATTTCTCGACTGACTTTGGTTTGCTTAAGTTTTGGATCGAGTTGTTCCTCTGCCCATAACAATTTTGCTGTTGTTGTTGGTGATGTTGATGCTGTTTTTGCTGTTGGCATACCTGCTTGCAAGACCGCTTTACTGCAAAGACAGGGTATGAATTTACAGCGCAGTTCTCTCCATGATTAGTCTTTTGCATTGCCCTATTGTTTGCAGCAGTCGTTGAAGAAGAGCATCCATAATTACTTGACGCTGGTTTAGCAGTTTTCTTACTTAAGGTTCCTTTTTCTTTTTTATAAGAGTTTAAATTTGAATTTGAATTTCTGTGTGTAAGATGTTTTTTTGACCGAAAGTTTAAGTCGCTACCAGAAGTCGATCTCACTGACTCATTATTGTTTTGATAATAAACTTGTGACTTAAAAACATTGTCTATTTCTGTATTGTAGAGCTGATTTTTTGGCCTTTGATCTCTAAAGTAACATACGTCATTAGCATCGGTAAAAGTCACAGCACGTTCCTCCTGATTAGCAGTTTCTATAACAGTCTCTTTCTTCCGATTAACATGCTTGTTGCAAATACAACATCTATGCATCAAAATCTCTATTGGCACAAAGGTAGCAAGCATATTTTGCCATTTCATCGCTTGTTGCAAATCATGTGGATAGGTGAAGTTAGATGTTGGCGTTTGTCCACAAATTATACAACGACGTTCCATTGCAAGGCGAAAAGGCGAAATTTTTGATGAGCAGGTGACGAATAATGTAATTTTGATTTTGTATCCGCGGATCACTTGATTATATGATATTCAAAAAAAGCAAGAAAACAGTTTTTTATCATTAAGTGCCTAAGAACTTTGTACTCCAACTGATTAAATGAGTAAATATAATAAATGTGTAAATATAATAAAAAGAATTCATATATTCCCATGATCAGCCGTTATTTTAAATGTTGGAAGACTGCCAATCTGCTAAAATTTTGCAATCAAACAGAATGCATCTCATCGATAAGCTAAACTGCTTGAATGGCGAATTGTAAACTTATCGATAACTCAAAAAAACCAACATCAGCGATATTATGGTAGAACAATAACATTCGTCATCGTGCGGTTTCGTTTGTATTCCGTTGAACGTCCATGTATACGGATGGTTGTTTTATTTTTAAAAAACTCGCGACGCATTGGCCACGAACTCAAGATCACATCGGGTCGTTCCAATTTTAGTTTATTTGTTTGTTGATGACTGCGTGAGCTAAAGACAAAATAATGAGTTTATCAGGTACAAATAATACCAACTGGCAAAGCGATGATCGTGGCGATATGGAAAAGGTTTTAGCTATGTTAGTGTTAGGTCTCGGCAGCCTTCTATCCGGCATGCTGCCAGCCATAATATCAGAGCGTAATCGTCTACGATTTCCATTGACAACGTCGCTATTGCTGTGTTTCGGTGCAGGTATTCTACTAGCTACGGCTTTGGTGCATATTTTGCCAGAGGTAAACTTAACTGTAGCTGAATGCAATTTGATAACTGTTTCTGTATTCATATATGTATGTGTATGTGCGTATGCTATTGCTTAGGTACGCGAGCAAATGAACTCGAAGTTCGCGGAAGTTGCGATGTGTGGCGGCTTCTTCATCATTTATTTCATAGACGAATTCATACACTATTTCTTTGGCGAGGCCCTTCAGCATACGCATGCAACGACTCCAACAGCGAGTGCTCCAAGCTCCAACAATGCCTATGGAGCAATTAATGAGAGAGCGCCGTTAATAGGCGTCGATACAACACACCATCATCATCATGGTGAAAAGTAATACAAGTGTATTTTTATTTGATCGATTAATTAAATATATTGATTGCCTTTGCTTACAGCGGTCATGATCATAATAATAGCGATCACCTGTATGAGCCCGTTTCCGGATGTGACGATGCCAGCATTGACGATGCAAATGCTCGAATTTGTCATACCAGTCATACGGAACCATGTGCACAATCCATGACTGGGACACTGGGACTGTTTGTGGCGCTCTCTTTGCACTCGGCCATCGAAGGATTGGCTATTGGTGTACAAAACTCGGCCACCAAGGTATGAAAGATTGCCTTGACATAATTTAGTTTATGCTACCAGTCAGATAATCAGGGGATTGCTGACTAAATATTTATTTTGATAAGCGAGCTACATAGTTGTAAATATTTCGTACTTGTCTATTCGCTTCTACTCTAGGTGCTCTTTCTGCTGGGCGCCGTTGCGTGTCACAAATTTGTGATGGGCTTCTGTCTGGGTCTTGAATTTCGCTCAAACCCACGCGCAAGCATTCGCTCACAATTCATTGGCATCTTGGTGTTTGCTTTGGGTGCCGTGTGCGGAATCGGTCTGGGTATGCTTATCGTTGACATACCCTCTACCTGGTCGAAAACAGCACTGCCCATAATACAGGCATTGGCTGGAGGTACGCTCTTTTATGTGACCGTATGTGAGGTGATTCCGCGCGAAAAGGCGCGCTGGCATACGAATTCGAATCGTCGCTGGGCGGGATTTGCGCAATTCGCGACAGTCGTTGCGGGCTTTGCGACAATGTGCATTATTAATTATTATCTCGCTGGTACGTCATACCGAAATAATCTGTTTTAGCTTTTACGCATCAAATATTTATATTCCACTTCTATTTCAGATGACTGAGAATCTCAATAGGCACTGCCCTGCTTTTTAAACTTGTATTTGTATCAGAATTGTTGTATGCAAAATGTAATTGTGGTTGCTTATTGTTTAATGTATTATTAAGTGTCCCAGCCAATTTAAATGTTTTATACAAAAAAGAAGTGTGTGATTTTATATAAAATAACATTAGTAATATTCTTGTGAGTCTGTGATTTTTGCTTAGCTCAAAATAAATAAAAGACAAATTTTCTTTATATCTACATTTATATTTTGTTGCTTTCTCCAAAGTATCTAAGTTTTTTTGTTAATCTTAAACGTAGTTGTAAATCAAAAAAACGGTTTCAAGTGGTTTTTTGATTTGTATTACTAGGTATATATGTATATCAATCATAAAACTTCTTGTCAAGCGATTTAATGTAGTTGCATACACATTTGCTTTGCCTTTTTAATTTTGTTTTAAACCAATTAAAACAACATTTATATAACTACATATATATGTTATATTTTCAAGAAATATATATATATATATATATATATATATATATATATATATATAGACGATTTATATATGTAGACGTATAAATATATTATTTTATGTATGTGTGTATAATTGAAGTTGAATTGTTGGTGGTAAAACTCAGAAGAAATTATAAAAACTATCAAATTGCTTGGTACTCGATTGGTTTGTCTATCAAATACGCAAATTGGGAAGTTTATATTTGTATATGCTTCACATGCATAAAATATATTATATATTTGTTTTTTTTTTTTTATATTTATATAAGTTGCGGTAATCGGGTGCAATTACAAATGTGTTTCAAAAAAGAAGTATCATTGAAACAGTTATTAATTTACAATCGAAACCAAAATTCTTTTGCCATAGGTATTCATTGATGACATACATATATTAATATGCATATATACCGCAATTTCCATGCTGAATCCATTTATTCAGTTGTTCGTATTGTAGCACTGGCATTTGAAAACGAACTTAAAACATAAATAAATCTAATAATTAGAGTTGCTCTTTCGCCGCAGCCGTAACCCCATTCTCATCTTCATTATCATCATCATCATCGTCTACCCACTCATTCATGAGACTCTTCAATTTCTCTTGTGTACCTGCTGTCAGTGGCTCTGCTTTACCATCGACTTCAACAGCATCGCTGGTGTTTGGTTTCTCATCGGTTGCAGCAGATGCTTCATCCACTGCTGTTGTTTCTTCAGCTCTTTTCTCATTATTATTTTCTATTGATTCCTCTACAGCCTCAATAGCTTTGGTCGCATCAGCTTGTTGCGTCTCTGATCCATCTACTTCAGGTAGCTGAGTAGGCGACACTTCTGTCAGTTCTGGCTGTTCGCCAGTCACTGCATCGACATCGACATCGGCATCGGCATCAGGCGTTTTCGCCTCAGCAATTAATTCATCAATCAACACTTTCCGAATATTTTCTGTTTCCAAATTTACGTCATCGACTCCAGTGGAGACAACTGCATCAGCAGAATTCTCTGCAGCAATTTCATTATTGATGTCCGCACTTTCGCCTTCGGCAACAGCTTCGATTGTTGTTGGCGCATCCTCCTTAATGAATTCCTCCTCAGTTTCACGTTCTTTCTTAACGTCGTCTTCATCTTTAATAGACTTTTGCAAATCATCTGCTACTATTTCTGCCGCTGCATCTGGCTCATCCTGACTTATTTCAGTTGTGCTGCTGGTGTTGGTAGGTGCCGTCTCTTTAGCAATGGTCTCTGTCTCTTCGCCATCACCCTTATGTAAGCTTTCCAGCGCCAAGTCAATATCATCTTCCGGCTCTGGTTCTTCAGTTGCTTCTTCGGCTGCCTCAGCAACTGTTGATGCCGCCTGCTTCTCCGTGTTCTTTTCCGTCTGCACAACAGCTGCTAGCTCTGAGGTCGCGGGTTTGTCATCTATGTCGTCCTCATCCTCATTCTCATCTTCGGTCCATTCACCCGTCAGCTCTTTAAGCTTTTCACTAATGTCATCGCGGCCCTTTTCTGCCTTTGGCTGTTTTATAGAAATGGTTAATTAAAGATTATCTTCAATATTATTGCTTTACTTACTTCTTTGCTGTTCTGATCTGTTTCCAAGTCATGTTTTGATATTAAATTCTCGGCCCATTCTAGATTATCAATGGACTCCTTGCTCTCATCGGCGGCTTCACTCTTTTTGCTACTGCTCTCTACGGATCCGGTGGCGGCTAGTTCACTATAAATTTGACTGTCATCGTATTCCTCTTCTGTGCCAGTTAATGATTTCACGTCGCCTTCCTGTTTCGCATCCACTTCTGGCTCACTGAGCACCATGACAACACCTCCGCTGGGTGCGCCTGCCTGTTGCTGATTCAGCTGTGACAATATCTCCTTGCGTTGTTCTTCAGTTAGCTCAACTTCATTGCCATCGGCGCCGACAAACTTGACTTCCTGCTCCGGGGTTGGCGACTGCATAATTTGCTCCTCCTCTGTATCCGCTTCTGTTACGGCCCCTTCATCGGGCTCGTCACGGGTCTGTTGCTGTACAATGGCACTAGTCGCTGGCAAGCTGATATCGGATAAAATGCGCACCTTTTCGTCCTGCATTGGATCATCTACTTCCTCCTCCTCCTGCTCTTCATCCTCCAACTGTTCGTCTTCGTCTTGCGAGCCGAGATATTCTTCATCGGTTTCATCAATGATGCCATCCTCCAGTGCCTGTGCCTTGTGATAGTTTTTCATATGCCTATACAGCTGTAGCTCCTGCGCAAACACCTTGCTACAATAAATGCACTGTTGCTTATTCTCATCCGTGTGCGCTTCGTTGATGTGCTGCTCCAGTTCACTCTTGGTCAAGTACGTTTGGTTGCACAGCGCGCACTCCGCAAAGTTGTAGAGCAGTGATTTGATCTGATGCTCGGTGTACATGTGGAAATGCAATTCCCGATTGTTCGCCGAACGCCAACCACAATGTTCACATAGCGCCGGATCTATTGTCTCCTTATGAGTGTTAATCAAATGGCGACGGAAACCACGATACGATGGAATGCTTATTGGCCGTCCATTAACGCCACAACGCAGACACAGCCAAGGTCCTGTAAACAATGATAGTTATTATATAATTATTATATATATTGTTCAAATAAAAACTTTTGGATAATAAATAACAATAAATAATTCGTTTTTTAATCCATTTGGAAAAATTGTATGTCATAAAAGCGTTATATCTAGGATCATTAGCATTTTGAGTCAATCGAATTGAAATGTGTTTCCAAAATTGATTTGTTTTTGTTGAAGAGTGGCATACATTTTTGTTTGCGCGTAATATCTGATGACTTTTTTTTTATTTTGTTAATAAAATTTGTATACCCCTTATGTAACCCGCGCTTACCTGTGGTGTTCTCAGCACCCAGTGCAATTAACGTATGCATTGTCTTACTGTCAATGCGTCGCTTTTGCCCTGTCGATGCAGCAGTTGTCGTGGTGGAGGTCGCCGTTGCAGATGCTATTGGCTGAAGTGTTGCTTCGACTGCTGTTGGCTGGGTCGTCGTCAATTTTTGTGTAGGTTTCTGCTGCTGTGTAGTTATCATAGGCTTGTCTGGCTTAAATGACACATGCAGCTTCTTGTGTGGCGATGTGGGGCCGGCTGGTGATCCGACTGGTGCCGGTGAGGCACGTTTAACAGCGGTAGCTGTTTTTTCGACCGGACTGTTGGGCATTATTTTCAATTTTATATTCTTGTGGCCCTTTACAATATGTGGATATTGGCGGAGAACCTCAGCTATTATTTTAGTATGATTCAACTTGGTGTTAGACGAATCTTTTACAATAATTGTGGGCGTTTGGCTAGGGGAATCCTGCTTTAGTATGATGGTTGTTGTGCCGTGCTCCATTTGCGTTTGCGTTCCTCCGAACTGTTGCGGGGTTTGCTGTTGTTGTTGTTTTGATGTCGATGGTTGTGGAGGCATATCATCGTCATCATCGTCACCTGTGTGCACATCATCATACAGCATCATGTTATCATATTCTGGGTCGCCATGGTCACCATACTCTGCGGCAATCTGTTTGCGCATGCGTTGCTGTTCGGCAAACTCTTTGACCTCCTCCAAACTGGGTTTCTTTGACGGCGGTGACAGTAGGCTCGTTTGTGCTGGTCTTTTATTGTTGTTATAACCTTTGCGCAACTGTTCAAATGGCGAAGTGGGTTCCTGCTTGACATAGGTGCTCGTAGATGTTGTTTCGCCATATTGTGTGCGATTGCTGATGCCGCCGGAGCGCAGGATTGCTGGGGTATTTATACCACGTGGTTGTTGCACATTCGTACGTCCTGTGTTGCTGTTGCCCGGACTGGCACCAATGCGGTTTGAGGGAGTTGATATGGAACCACGTTGCTGGGCGCCCGTGGCATTGCTACTTGGTACCATAGGACGACGTCGTATACCCTTCGGACTGGGTGGCTGATAATAGCAAAGAAACGATTAGTTCAAAATTTATGGTAATTTATATGTAAACAAAATCTTACTCTTTGCTGCCGATTCACGTTCTCCATGGTGCGTCGATGGGCCTCCAGTAACTTCAGCAACACGGTCATATTCATCTCTTTGGCGGTGCGCAACAGTTTGCCATACATTTTAAGCTCAAATTCGAGTGTGCCCGTATACATGAAATTGACAATGGGCACCACAACATCAGCTTGAAATTCGGTCGGCATTATGAGTGCGTCGTCAACTATGTCGCAGGTCTGCTCCAGCACATTAAAATAATCAGTGCAAGCACTTAAAACAAGACGATGCACTTTCAACTGTGAATTGTCACGAAATTGTAGTGTTAAATCGCAATAATCCGTTTTATTGAAGAAATTTTGGAGCTTCTGCAGAAAGAAGACGCCCCAGTTGTCTACTTTCACGGACTTCACTTCACCCATCTTGCTGAAAAATTTGTATAATTAAAAATGCTTTATTTTTTAAACGCGGCCTCCCCGTCGCGATATCTTCAGTTGTCGTTGTTTGGCTTTTCTAGCGTGCGGCTGGCGCAACTGTACTCCGGTGGGGGCAGGAAAATTGAGTTTTGAACACGATTGCAGCAGAGCGTTGTCACATAGAATGCAGAAATTATAAGAATTTGTAAATTAATTAAGTGAATAATTATTTTAGTAAAATTTTTTGCACAACTAAAACGAACATCACGGGCGTCGATTGATTTTCAACAAACATGTTAACTGCCCGTGGCGCGGCAATGCAGCTCCGATATGTTTTGTATGTGTATGTGTGTGTGTAAATGCTAGAGATGTGCGCGTGTTAATTCACGAATGTAAAACTCTAACGAAGTTAAATTTAACATTTCCGAATAAGCTATTTTACGATTTTTCAATTTCGCATCACAAAGACTAAGAAATACGCTTTTTAAGCGTTCAATTTATGGTAACAGAATGGGAACTAACATAATTGCATGTATTCGCTTATGGAACTCACGCTCTCAACTCTAGTGTGTATGCCACATATATATGATTGTAATATGTATGTGAAGTGCAATACACATCGCCTTCTTTGCACAATTTCAACACAAATTACTTTAATTACATATATAATACTTTGATATTTATCAATAATACTTAAATGTTTGGTTTTATCAAATTGGCGCTATGTTCGGCTTATTTTTCACACAAAACGTTTATTTGTAGACACAATCGTTATCGCTAGGCTCAACTATATTGTCATTATGCAAATTGTACTTTGGATGCGTGTATATACATGTTTCTCACAACTATTTGTAAGCATTTAAAATATTATTTACGCATTTACATACATTTTTTTAATGCACACTGCTTTTACCGGACAAATTTTTAATTTTTCCCGTGAAACAAAAAAGATGGCGGCAGAGTGACCTTATTGAAAATCCGTATTTTTCTGCACGACACTACCACACTGACGATAGTTTCCTTTAAATCGATAAAACGTCTTGCTGACCCAAGAATAAAATAAAGATTAGTTTAATGTTGGTAATGCTTTTTATATAGTCTCATAGCTTTTCAGTTAATAAAATAAACTCTTGTGATCTGCTAATAATCGGTAATAAATTAGACATAAAACGTGAAATTTTTATATTTAAAAAATTATCTGGGCGCCAACATGCACCATGCGGCCAATTTATCGTAATCGATAACATATGGTTGCTGGCAAGGCAAGAAACAAATTGTATATAAATATAAATATAAGTTCGTATTAATTGAAACTAAGCAAAATGAGTGCGCGACATAGGGGCAAATCCAAGCGTGGTGCTGGCGCAAGCTCTTATCGTAATGTCAAGTCAAATCACAACTGCGAACGCAGCTTCGCCCAACAGGCCAATGAACTGTCCAATTGCAATGCCACCGACAGCTCCGAGTCCGATTCGTCAGTTGACAGTATGGATGGACTTGGACATCCGCCAGAATTTGCCGTATCAATGTGGGACCTCAATCACTGTGATCCGAAAAAGTGTTCGGGCAGAAAACTAGCACGTCTTGGACTGATTTCTAATTTGCGTTTGGGTCAAAAGTTTCCTGGACTTGTCCTTTCGCCAGTCGGTCAACTATGTGTTAGTACACAGGATCGCGAAATCGTTGCTGCTTCTGGAGTAGCAGTTATCGATTGTTCTTGGGCGAAGCTAGATGAGACTCCCTTCAACCGTATGCGCAGTCCCTATCCCCGGCTATTGCCATTTTTGGTGGCAGCAAATCCAATCAATTATGGAAAACCCTGCAAGCTTAGTTGCGTGGAAGCAATAGCTGCAACACTCTATATATGCGGCTTTATTGAAGAATCGCGTTGGTTTATGGGTAAATTCTCCTGGGGTCACGCATTCCTTGAGCTAAACGAAAAGCTCCTTAATGCATATGCAGCGTGCAAAGGCAGCGATGAAATTTTAAAAGTGCAAAAGGAATATCTAGAAGCGGAGCAAAAGGAGCGTGACAAGCCGAGGGATCTAAAAGAGTTTTATCCCACAAGCAGCAGCAGCAGTAGTGAGAGTGCAGATGATAACGAAGAACTAAAATAAATGTAAAAACGTAATATTAGTTTTACAAGAGGCCAAAGACAATTTATTTCTTTATACAATTTCCAAATGAATGATTTTCTTGATATATTACAAGCCAGTTGTGAAAAGCAACGCTCAAATTAAAATCAGGAACAAATTAAAGAGAGCGGCTTAAGTTGTTTACTTAGCTACATCTACTGAGCATTACGCACATATTCCGGATCGACATTAATAAAGTTTGTCATGTTGAAGTACATAGCGCTATTCTTCACCAAAAACTTGAGAAAATCATGCAAATGTGCTAACAGGGTTTGCATGGCCGGTTGGTCCAACGCCGAGTAGCTCAACATTGAGCCAAGTCGCACAAACAAGCGTAATAAATGAAAGGAGCCATATAGCTCGGACAGCGGCGTATCCGGATTCTTTTGCATTATGTCTGCGTACTGGGTGCGCTCGAACTTGTACAACAGCTGGGAGCCAAGCATCACATTGAAATATTCGATAATGCCATCGAGAACGTCATTAATAGCCACCTCTTTACTGGCACTGGTCGATTTCACTGACTTCTTATGCGCCAAATACTGTTCTGCTATCTGCTGTACCGTCACCTTGGCCGGTAACTCCAATAGCTTGTGCTCACGAACTATCGCATACCAGTCATCTGTCAGATAGTGCTTTAGCTCATCGGGTATCTTTATTTTTACTTCAAGTTTTGCTGTGTAGGTTTCTTCGCTCTCCACACAAGGTGCATCAGCTATTGTTGTTGTAGTTGTCGTTGCTGCTGTTGGCGTTGTTGCTGTTGCTGCTGTTGTTGTTGTTGACTGATGTGCTGTGGCTGCCTCAGTTCCATTGCCACTTAAGGCTGAACGTTGTTCTGTGTTGCTATTTTGAGAGCTCATACGTTTAGCTTTAGGCGGCGGTGGCGGCACTGAGGGCGTAGTGACCTCCTCTTCTGTGTTTTCGGCAGCTGCTGAATCGTCCTTTTTGTCAGCACTTGGCGTGCTTGGACGCACTGCAGCTGTAGCAGATTGTGTGGACTTGCGATTACTTCGACTAGTTGTGCTCGTGATGGAGGTATTATTGGTTGTCGTGCTGCTGTTGCTGCTGGTGTTGCTGCCATCATTTTTAGTCTTCGATTGTCCAGCAGCGATAGGTGTGCTAGTTGTAGCACTGGTGACGCCAGTTGACGGCTGGGTTTGGCTGCTATCCTTGGAGGGTGTCGATGCACGAGATTCATTGCCCACATGCTCCATTTTTTTAGCCTTTGCACTGCCTAAGACATATTTAATTCTTTAGCATAAAGTTGTTCTTCTGATAGTTTAAGTGATCATACCTTTTTTGTTGTCTTTCTTTGAGCGTTCAACGTACAGTCGTGCGAGCTCCTTTTGACGCTTAACGTTATCGTCATTATATTTTAGCACACGACTCTCTGGCACCCACTCATCCCAGCTTCGTATCGAAAAGAAAATAAGTCAAATTAAATGTAATACTTTACATATCAAGCAAATTTACTTTTTGCTCCAGCCCGCATAGTGTATATAATATTCAACCGGCGAACTTTCCGGTTTTGTTTTGAGTACTTTGGCTTCATAGATAAGCGGTCCGTGAAAGCAAAGCACACGCTCCCCTAGAGAACATGATAATAGAAATAAACATTGCTGTCGTTTGTCACTTTAATTGATAGTCTCACCGTCAGCAAATAATGTAGTAGAATCAGTTGGCGCCCAGTTGTCCATTTTTACGGGTTTAACTTCTCCCATTGTTTTTATTGAAAATATATGCCAAAGCGTCGCAGCTGATTTGATCAGGTTGGCAGTCCTAAAATATGTACCCACATATATGCATCGCCGATAATTAGGGCTGCAAAAACAAACAAGTTAACTGACAATCAAGTGCACTTTGTTATTGCATTTATTTAGAATATTTAATGAACACTAAAGACTACATCACAATGTACATATTTTGCATTTATTGTTTTGCCGCAGACGACGCAGCCATCGCCAATTCTTCCTCTTCCCATGGACGCGGACCGCGCTTGTTTGACCAATTGTCAATATCTATGCCTTTTACCTTATCATATTCTTTTTCAAGCGTCACTTCTTGACGTTTTTTCATGGTCACACCGAATTTCTTCATTTCTTCCGGTGTAACTGGTTGCTTTTTGGCGTACTGGTATCTACAACCAAAAAATACGTTAAGGCCATGTGAGTTCCAAGTGAGATTAACTTAATACTACTTACCTCAAATTTGAAAATTGCTGCAGTCCAAACGAACCGGCGACCATCATAATTAGAAAGGGCACGCCATACTTGAATGACTTTCGTTTTGCGTAGTAATTTAACTTTTGTGTAAATGACATTTTTATGTTATTGTTATGAAATGATAACACAAAATCCAGCCAGGGCTGAAGATAGGCCGCAGAATTGTGTATGCAATTATATCGATGCCAATATATCGATAAGTGAGGCGGAAATTAATTTTGATTTGAATGCTCAAATTTCACGCTAACATTAAACTTTCTGAACTGCATTAAAGAATATGCAGCTGTCGGTTACGCTTAGATAAAAATAGCTCAATTCAATCATTCACACGGCCTTGACGCCAATTGCCATTGCAATTTACCTAGCTGCAAGAAATTTTCAAATACCCATTTGTTTTCCGGCTAACAATAAATTAGATGTTTTTGGCTGTTCTTTATTTACATACGATTTGACGTTAAGTTCAAGGTCTAGAACGACTTTTTCTGCACATACGTTTTTAGCAATTAATTGACACTGACGTTGCTTTAAGAGCGCCAAAAAGTTTCTCACATGCACACCAAGACATTTGAGACGAACAGAGCTGTTTGTGGTTCACCTTGGCCGTTATGCAGCCGACCAGGCAAGGCAAGGCAAGTTGCTCGTTGTAAAGATTTCCTTTTAGTACCAAAGCCGAACCAGTTCACAAGGAGCTTAGACATCGACATCGACATCGACACGGTGACAATTGAGTCATCAATTGACGTATCGCCCGCTCACCGCTCACTTAGTCCCCTTTAGAATCGGTCTAAGCTGATCTACGATTATTTTTTCATTTTCCGCTTGCAGCTTGATGTTGCATTTGTATGTGGCAAGCTATTGCATAAAGTTGTCTAGGCCGAAGCCTAAAGTTTCCATTATTTTTGTTGATTTTTCACCAAATATGGTTGCAATTTTGTTAACAAGATTGTGCACTTGTTTGAACCTCAGCACAAATGCAAACGTGCACACACAACAATATATATATCTTTTTTAGAACATATTGGAATTATGAAAAAGCCGTTGTATTTATACGCATTACATGTGCTATCCATTTGGTCATGATTTGGCTTGTCATATTTAGCAAGTTGTTTAAGCAATTTGGTCATTACAATGCTATCCTTAATCTATATATATATATATATATATATATATATATATATATATATATATATATATATATATATATATATATATATATATATAGAAAATATATAGAAAATAATTAATATTTCTGTTGCCCATTGCCAAACGTTTTAATGAAAACAGTTACGTCATCATGTGGGTGTTGCTCGGATTTAAATAGATTTTTTTCGTGCTCTCATTGCAGAACACAGCTCCTCCAAAATATAATAATAATCAAATATATATAATAATCAAAAAATATATATACCGTTTTTTCAATAAAAAATTCGTAGTTTGTTAAATTTTTTCTCCGTATATATTGTTGCGTATTGATAAAAATATTAAGTGTAATACCACAATTTTATAATTAAGAATTTTTTTTTATATACTTATACATTTTAATCCTATTATTATTATTAAGCATTTTACATATTTTTGAAGTACTTCTAAAAAGTTGTATATATTGGAAACTCTAATTTTTTTTTCTCTACACCTATCTCTTTTTGGGCTAAAATATAATTCTATATTTTCTAATTCTATAATTCTATAATTCTCTATGCTCTGAAGGTTGAAGTTATTTTCATAGTTAAAATATTTTGGAATTATGGTCAAAGTTTTTTTGATGAAAGAATGTGGATTTAAACTCTGCCGTTATTGATAGTACAGAAAATAACATAAGAAAAACTATTTTTTTAAATAGTGGAATAAAATATTTAAGTCCAATGATTAAGCAAACCAAATTGTAATTGGAAATACTAATATAAATAAATAAATATTATAATTTTTATACAGTTGTATTCTTTTAAGAACATTGAATGGAATCTAATGGAAATTATAGAAATTTCTTAGTTTCTTAAATTAAGTTAGTTTTTACATAATTATTTGGAAAGAGGAAAGTTTAGATGAGAAAGCTTAAATAGAAAATTGATTTACCAATTTCTGTTATGTAAGTATATTAATCATAAAAGATATTTTATTAACGAAAGTAGATAATATTTTCGTCATAATCTTCATTATCATTTAGAAACAATTTAGTTAATAAACTGTGCGTGCTAAAGAGTAAATTATTATATCTTAAAATAAAGATAGTTATAAGCTCTGTATTATCATTATTGGCATTTATCACGTTCTGCATAAGATTGTGACTCAGAACTCTTTTTTCCTAAAATGTATGCTTACTGCAATTGTATTAATGCTTTCAAATATTGAATATATATATATATATATGTGTGTGTACACATATACAAATTGAAAAACAAAAAAAGATTTTTAGAAATCTATAAAAAATACGCAAAAGTTTATGTATTTGTATGTATGAGAGAATGTGAAACAAGATTTTGTTTTTTGGCATATCAATAACTGAAATTTAAAAATAGCTGCCATCAAAAACAAGAAAAAACACAAAATAAAGATACACACACTTAGAAAAATACAGGCACAGTAAGCTTCAAATATACTGGGAAATTTTAAAATTCTTTGCGCCTACAAAGGAACAGGTGAAAGACAGAGAGAGTGGGAGAGAGAGTGAGAGCGAGGGTCGATTAAAATGAGCGCCAGAGTTCAGTTGTTGTTACTGCTGCGACTTATTCGTTTTTTTCTGTGTGTTCTTTGGTTTCTCGTGCTTATGCAGAAAAAAACGCGCTCGTAAATTGAGTGCCCGTCGTCTGTGGCCATCGTGAATGCAGTTACAAAATAAAAATTTGAGCGCCCCACGATTTGTGTTGAGCATGCAAAACGCATGCCAGCTGCTAAGAGAGCGAGTGTGTGAGCGGCGCTGCTCGTTGCCTCGCTGCTTTGCCCAAAATGTATTTCTGCTTACTCTCTCACACACTCACACACATTGCGCACGCACACAGACGCAAACAGCTTGAAATCGAAAAACGGCGGGCATCGAACGTCAGTATATTGAATAAATATTTTCAGTTGAACATCACAATCCGTTCAAGTCGCGGATAACTCCGAATAAAAGTTTTGTAAGTAAAAGGAATAAACAAGAAAACCTACAAAAATCTACTCAAAGAGTTCAACACTGAATAAACAATTATTAATTGTGCTACAGCTAATTTTTAAGTTAAAAGAAAAAAAGAATAAAAAACCAATAAGTGTCAAGGGTTTTCTTTATTAACTCTAAAAGGACATTCCCGAAAAGTATATTGCATAATCGAACCTAAAACATAAATAACAAATTATTTAACTAATCAAAGTGCTGTGAATAAACCGCAAATATTTTGTTAAGTATTTCAAATATTTAAGAAAAAAAAACTATATATATATATAATAAATTGAGGTTAAGCAACTTTGGCAAACAGTTTGAACTAATGCAAAAAATTATGATGGCAAAAAACCTGAAGAAAAAGCCAATGTCTTTGTCTTAACCACAACTTGAGTTCTAGAATTTCAATTCAACACATGAGATAAATCTATATATATATATATATACATATATATATATATATGATGTGCATATATACATATGTATATATATAGTTAATAGAAACGTGAAACAGAAATAGATATATTGAGGCAGGACAGTATATGAAAATTCAAAGTAGCATAATTTCTAGATAGTTAGAAACTATAACAATTCTTTATAAGAGTAAAAAGCGGTTTCTTTCTATTTGCATTACAAACAATTAAAAAGTATTTTACTTTCGTCTACCCTGTAACTTGATACTGAACCAGAGTGGCCGACGTTCAATCTATCTAAAGACTAGCGTAGGCGAAATGCTTTCAAATGTTCTTGAAAAGCTTTTCTCTCAGTTTATATTAAGTAATATCCGTTCGCATAGCAATTAGGAAATATTCAACAGATGCCCGGCTATTTATAGAATTACCAAAAGAGGGAGAGAATAAAAAGAGAGAGAGAGAGAGCGAGATTGAGTGTGATCTATAAAGCTTTTATGAGCTTTCAGTGTTGCCAGCCTTATGCATATAATTGTGTGTGTGATAGAATCTTAATATATATATATATATATATATATCATATACATATGTATGTATATATGCTTTAAAAATAGATAAGCAGGCAAATTGTATGTATACCTGCTTTTATTTGGATTATTTGGAAATTTTTAAAATTTTGATATTTCGAAAATTGCGAGCTAGTTATTAGAACACAGCCAATTCGGTGCCAGAGAAGGTGTGTACTATACTTTATTGACTGTATAAAAAATTTAAAATTTGTATTATTGTGCATTAAATATGATTAGAAACTAATATATTTGAGCTAGTCATGCTTGAATATGAAAAGGAAGTATATTAGAAAAAACCTGAAGATTTATATTTGAAATTAATTAAATTCAAATTAACTAGTTGGCTCTGCTTGATTTGAAAATATCATGAGCACTTGAGTTGTTTTTACATAAATATAGATATATATGTATTGATTTTTAATCTTTCTTTCATTAAAAAATTAATTATATATAAATTAATAAATGTAGAAATATAGGAAAATCTAGCAGCTACGTATCAAAAGTGTCTTAGAATCCATATTTATTGTTAATACTGTAAGCTTAGTATATATTGAAAAATAATTAAATTCAATGTTATATATTGGATATTGTTGTCTTACAAACTTCAAACCAGAGCTATATACTCTATATAATTCTATATGTTCCAAACATTCACACAAAAACAATATACACCATGTTCACCAGGATATTAACAACTTGGCACTTCGTAAGACTTATGCAAATAAGCCTTCTGGAAGCGACAAAATTGGGTGTTTTTATATAGGTCTATGTAGGCTCGATTATAGATGTGTGTCATTGCCATCATTCATGTCTCCGAAGTTATAAAATTCCAAAGTGATTTTCTGCTGAACAAACAAACATAATTCATTGTGTCACCTCGTTCGATGGACGACATATATTGCTACTTATAAAAAATGCATAAGAGAAAACCTCATACCTTCTGCGCGTCTGGATGGGATATGCACATATATATATATATATATAAT